TTTTTTTTTTTTTTTTTTTTTTTTTTTTTTTTTTTTTTTTTTTAGAATAGATTGATTGACTGATCGACTAATCGATCTTATCGCAAGGTATGACGATGAGGTAGTTATGTGTTTGCAGGCAGCAGTCGGAATTGGATGTTTAAAACAGGTGCTAGTTGGGTGTTCGGTAAGATGCAGGATGTGGAATGTGGAATGTGGATGCAATGCAGTATGCACAACTTGTATTAGAAGAAGAGTGGAGAGTGTCTGAATGAAATGAAGAAGAGAGTAAAAAGGAAGAGGAAAGAGAGGGAAATGACGATAAGAGAAATTGTGGCTGGGGACACGCGCGACGCGCCTTACGCGTATATCACGTGGGCGCGTTCCAATATAGCCGTTCTCGGATAGTAATTCGGGTCTATGGATTGGCTACTCCGTACTAGATCAGTTATGTGGTTTCAAGTATATGAAATTATTCGCGATATTCGTAGGAACACCGTGCGTTGTAAGAAGTACAGCGAAACTAATATACATGAGGTCAACTTAGTTATATTGCTTGACGGTAACTAAGTCATAGTGGAAGACAGATCTCTAGCTATCTAAGCACCGTAGTTGACAATGCTTCTCACAAGGTTCGAAACCCAGTTGAGCTGCTCCTCAGAGCTACCATCCTTGGGGATGGAAACCCCGGAGCTGGCAACAGGAGCAGCCGAGGAAGTGGCCTGCTGCTTAGCAACGGTTGCCATGGTGCTAGGGAGAGAAGCGACCTTGTTGTTGGCAGCAGCGGTGGTAGTGCCAGCGCTAGAAGCAGAGCTAGAGCCAGAGCTAGAACCGCCGACAGTAAAGTCGACGCAAGATTCGTAGGTCTGGTCAATAGACTCGGCGAACCAGTACCACTGGAGCACACAGTCACCGGCAGTTGAGCACTTGCTACCCAAGTTCTCGGGGATGGTGACGCTGAAGTTGGTTTCGTCATCGGTAACACCGGTCTCAGTGGAGGCGTACTTGTCCCAGGACTTGAGCGGGCTGCCGATCACAGTGTTGGAGTTGGTGTCGACGACAGAGACGTTGGCGACACCGGTGTGGGGAGCGCGGATGTCGATCTCGAACTTGACGGTTTGGCCGGCGCTGTAGGACTGGACGTTGTCCTTGTTGTCGGCGAACTTGTAACCCTTGCAGAGCCAGATGTCGCACTTCTCGGCGTCGTAGTCGTCCTGGCCGTTGGCGACCTGGAGCTCGCCCTGGACGTTGCCATAGTTGTCGGCCTTCTGGTTGTTGTAAATTTGCTGACCGCAGGCGGATGACATGGCGGAACCGGGCATACGGGGCTCAGGGGAGCTGATGAAACCGTGGCCGTGGGCCAAGGAGACAATGCTGGCAAGAGCGAGGACGGAGCTGGCTTGCTTCATTTTGGCTGATTCTTGAAGATAGCGAAAGAAAAGGCTGGATAAAGTCCGAAACGAGTGGAAGGTTCAGGTATACCAGTATACCACGATTCGAATGAGAGACGAGAAGAAAGTAAGACAGAACGGTCACAGACCAGAACTAAAAGAGAGCTTCAACAAGAGAATGAAAACGTTAACAAGGACAAGCCTGTGTGCTGGAGAGAGAAAAGAACTCGTCAGAACAGCGATATCCTGCGCCCTATATACTCTCAAATTAGGGTTGATCGAAACAGCTCCATTGGTCAATCTCATCATGAAACACACACCCTGGACCTGGGCATGGTCTGGCTCCTTCGTGGATCTTCAATCATATCGGATTTGCCTCTAAATGGAGATACACTCCTGGTGAGACAGAAGACAGACTCCACGGATCGGAGAGACGCCCGTTCGTTCTGACAATCCTGACCCGTCACTAATTTTATTCTGCATTGCCAAATCAGTCAATTATCAACCATAAACACTAGAACAGTTGGAGTGGACCCGAACAGCACTTACTAGAGAGTAAGCGAAGTTGTAAAGTGCCAAAGCGCCTATGACGGGGCGAATCGTTTCACGTTAATTGCCATGAAACATGCAAATTAACGACCCCTAAATTTTTAATCAGAACACCCCCCAAAAGAACAATATATACACTGGGCATTCAGGGTTTCAGCTTCATTAAGCCCTCAGAGGGAATTTCAAAGAACTGCCGCCAGGAGACATTGTCATCCAGTCGGTCTGGTAGAGTCTCAGGCAACACTATCAACAGCACTCAGCTTCAAACAGGCACTCCACCTGGGAGGCACCAGAAGATTCTGGGTATTTGGCAGTCGTGCCACGGAGATAGAAATAGATGTTAAATGCAAAAGAACCAATTGACTGGGACCCTGCCATCCGGTATCCCGAGTCCGAATCATGTGCCTCCATGCGGTGTACAGTCAATATAAACAAGGACCAGAACGTTAATCAGCACAAAACGAGAAGCCAAAAAGTAATATGTCAAGATATGACTGCTGTATATGTAGACTATAAGTGGGTATAACTACAACAATAGAAGGACATGAACAAATGCAAGAGCTGTAAATAGCATCAATCGTGATCGCCGAGGCCAGAACAAAGGGGAATAAACAAAATGTCAAATCTCAAAAATTATGTCGCCAATATATCCATATTACTGCTCTTGTTAAACAGTTCGTTCGGTATTTTGCTGCCACTGCCCATTTGGTCCGTTTGCCCCGTACGTATTGGTCTGCTGATTTCCTTCATAGTGCGAAGGCGTGCCATAAATTCCATGGTTGTCTGCGAAGGGGTTCTGGACTTGGAAGTCTTCCGATCGATATTCAAACCGGCCGGGGCCAGTGCTCGTATTTGCAGTGGGGTCTGGCGCGGTTGCGGGTGCAGGGACAGGTGAAGGAACAGGTGCAAATGCAGGAGCCGGAACGGGCGCAGGGACAGGTGAAGATAGCTCCGGAGCAACAGACATATCCCTTTGCGGTAGAGGAGGAGCCGGAACTGGCCGTGCATTGGCACTCGATGCCGCAACTTCGCCAGACTCGACAGGCGACTGGCTACTCGCACTACCCAAGGCTTTGCGGGCGTTGAGAACAGCCCGCTGGTGCTTGGACAATGCCACCGAGATTTCATCATTCGTCTCAATCAGCGTCAAGAGCGTGTCCTCGTCCGGCGCCGGGTTAGTCGAATTGATATATGCCTGGACGGCACGGGACGCGGTTTGGCACCGATGAGAGAATTCCGCGATGATTTCATTCTCGAGAATCTCAGCCGGTGGCGTCGACTGAACGATTTGGAGGAGCAGCTTGGATGAGTTCCTGGCTTCTTCAACACGCGCGGCTAGCTCATCTGGCGGGGGTAGAATCGTCCCATGAGCGGGACGAGGTGCACCAAAGTGATTCTGGCTTCGCTGCTGCGACTGCGACTGTGACTGCGACTGTCCTCGCGATGAAGATCCGGTACCCTATCACAATTAGCAACATGGCTATATCCAAAGAAAACGAATCACTCACCAAGAATGTACGCGCCTTGTTGTATCGTTCCTTCTCCTTCTTCCACATAGCCACGAGCGTTGCCAGATCCTCATCCCACGACCGCTGCGTCTCCATGAACTCCAGCGTCTCGCGCAGGAACTGTTGTGCATTCATGTCCCTTCCCTGCCGGAGGAGATCCTTAACCGTCGACGTGAACTTGGCATCCAGATTGCGCGCGAATGTGTGGCCTGGGTTATCGATGAGGATCCGAACCAACATGATGGCATTGTATTGCATGTGTCCGGGGGTTTTGACCGGGTCGGAGAGGATCTTGCGAATGCGATGGGCGGCCTCTTTGGCGGCATTGGGACTTGATTCGGCACTTTCGACGATGGCAGGGAGATGGACATAGTCTGTACCTTCCTGTTGGATTGGATTAGGGGTTAGTCCATGAACAGTGGTAGATGGGATGATAGAAGATGTTGGGGATTGAACGTACAGAGTTGCTATTTCCGGAGTCGCAGAATGCAGCCTGGATGACAATATCGCGTACGATTAGTCAATGTCCTATAGCAGTCCAAGATTCCCATAGTAGTTTGTCATACCACTTCCCGGAGGATGACAGCTTCGGGCGAATCATCGGCATACGTCGTCGCAGAGGAGGAGCTCCTCGAGGCAGAACCTGGGGAACCCTTGCATTGAGCAACCGGAGATTTTAGTTTAAGCGATATAGAATGTAACTTACTGGCACGCCGGGTCAGGGAAGTAAAAACACGCTTCATATTTGCCGACGACAAGAAACCCTGTAGCTCGACTCTGGGAGAGAAAAGGAGAAGTGTTGTTTTGTTTTCTCCAAAAGTAAGGCTGAGACAAAAGGAAAATGCGGCGGGCGTTTAGTTTAGTTTTAGTACTTTAACTCTAATGCTAGGCAGAAAATGGACACCCGCCAGTGGCGAAGACCACGACAACCACGACACGCAAGCATTTTATACACACCAGTCATCATGATGTTTGGGAGGGACTTTGTGTGGCCCCCAAATGGAGATGCCTGTGCCGCCGTGGTGGTGATTGTCCGGTGATAGTAGGAAAACTGCCTTATGTTCGACCGAGATATGTACATGGCTTACTCTTGATGCACAGCCACTCTTGGTCTTTTTGGTGAGCTTAATGGGTTTATCAAGGCTGATATTTCCTATAGACGTCATTTGGATGGGGGTCAGATATCGACTACAGTCTACACATATAGATCTTCTGCATCAAGAAATTGCTGAACAAAAAGAAACCGTATCCCATTCATGAAATAACGCTCGTATTATCCCGAAGCATGCGTTGGAAACAAGAGTACCCGGAAAAGAAAGGCCAGTAAATGTCCGGGGCCAATTCCTCGACGTGGAAAGATTCATATGTAGAAAAAGGGAAAATATCCTCGAGAAAGATCAATGCTGGGAAGGACTCCAAAAAAGCCCATCTGTATCATCTGCCCGTTGTTTCGAATTTTTTCCATTTCATTGCATTTTTTCTTGTAGCCTTCCGTGACCAGGTATTTGTTCCGTACAACAACATAAAAGAAAACTCCGGGCTTTTTAATTTTCCCTATGCATTTCTTTCCCAACTACCTATTACCCCCGACACCTCGCAGACCGCTTATGCCTCGATGAGAGCACGGCGGATCTGAGTACCACGCTGGCGGGAAGAGAGGTGAGTCTCCTTGGCAGCGGGGGCCTTCTGGACGACTTCCTCACCCTCGGTAAGGATGAGCTCGATGTGGCAAGGGTTGGTCATGTAGGGGTTGATCTATGTCATGTCAGTTTATCCGCCGTAGAACCCCAAGAATATTTATACATACACGACCGTGGGCACGGTAGGTGCGTCTCCGTCCCTTGGGGGCCTGGTTGACCTGGATGTGCTTGACAACAAGGGCACCGGTGTCGAGACCCTTGGTGTCAGCGTTGGCCTCGGCGTTCTTGATGAGGTCGGAGAGGAACTGAGCGGACTTGACGGGCCAGCGGGCGCGGCTGACACCCCACTGCTTGCCTATAGATAACTTCATCAGCGTGCTGCCCAGCAACCGTATGTCCAATAATTTCCAAGCATTCATCTCCAATCGCACGGCATGGCTTCTCGTTCCATTCATATTCAATCCCAATATTTCCTTCAAAAATTTTATTTAAACCCAACTCTTTCTAGCCACGACAAATTTTCAAGCCATCGTAATTTTTCTCCCCTCCAAAACCATAAAAAACAATCGTATCACTCACCCTGAGCAGCACGACCAGTGCCGCCAGCGTATCTGCGCATGGGGACGACCTCGGCCTTGTTCTGGACGTTGTCGAGGAACTTGAGGGCGCGTTCAAGCTTCATGCCCTTGACGGCCTGGGCGGTCTCACGGGTGTTCTTGAAGCTGACACGGAGGTAAGAGCCCCGGGCGCGGGCGCTCTTCGCGGCCGGAATCTCCTGAGCGGCGTAACGGACCTGAAAGACAAAGAAAATCCCAACATCAGCAACATGCACAGACTCGACCGGACGGAATTGACATGACGGCAATGTTCGAATTCATTTATTGTGAGGGGTATGATTTTTCTTCGATGCGCGGAAATGGAGATTTTCTCGAAATCGACAAGTCTTTGGGCTTGGGGCTTGGGCTAAGGCTTGGGGAGATGCAAAAATCGCATGTTGGATAGCAAAATCGACGACAGCAAGACTCACCATCTTGAAGCGGTTGCCGAGGGGTAAAGGGATGGTCCTCGATGTCGTGAGAAGTTGTCGCTTTTTCTTCGTTTTCGACAAGGCCTCTGGAACGGGGATCGCGAGACTCTGCGTGTGGTGCGCTTGGCGCCGCCCGCCCTAAGCGAGCCCTAACGCTAGGCCGAGTGTGGTTTACCGCCTGGCAGTATCTGTTAATAACGGTCATGAACTGGAGTTCTTTACTATGGAACGCATGGTTTATTCTCGAACAATTCATTTAACATTCTTATTTCTAGGTCTATTTATTGCAATTATGCTTACGATGTCCCATTCATACCCTGAAAGGCGCTTTTCTGCTCCGGAACTAACGTGATCATCTTTCCCTTCTCAACCGCCGAACGCAGATTGTTCAATACCAGCAGCTCCATGTCCTTCTGCGTCTCATAGGTCATGGTACCAATGTGCGGAAGCAGCATTACACGGGGGTTATTGATAAGCCCGGATTCCACCACGGGCTCATTCTCATACACATCCAGACCAGCCGACAAAACCTTTGGTTGGGTCAATACAACATCAACGAGTAAATGAATGAACGAGGACTTACCTTCCCAGAATCCACCGCAGCAACCAAAGCCTTCTCGTTGATCAAAGCCCCACGGGCCGTGTTAACGATAACGATCCCGTCCTTCATCTTACCGAACTCCTTCTCCCCGATGATATGCCGGGTCGACTCGTTCAGAGCCAGGTTCAAGCTCAGCACATCGGAAGTAGCCAGCAATTCATCAAACGACACGTAGGTCGAATCCCCCTCGAGCTCAGGCGACAACCGCGAACGGTTATGATACTGGATATTCATCCCGAAGGCTTTGGCGCGGTTTGCCATTTCCTAGTGGGGTCAGACAGGTTAATCAAGAAGGAACGTAAAGCGCAGCTTACCCTTCCAATACCGCCCATACCGAGAATTCCAAGGACCTTGCCCTGGGGGTCACGACCGAGCGTAGACTTTCCGAGCCATTGGCCCTCTCTAATTGAAGTCAACGGCACGTATGCCTGTCGCAGAGCCCCGATCATCAAGAAAATGCCAACGTCAGCCGTGGCATTGTTGACGGCTACAGGGGTACTGGACACGGCGATTCCTGTGCACGCGTTAGATTTCGTAACTAGTAAAACAGGAAGTAGTGGTACGTACCTTTCTGCGTACAAGCATCAACATCAACATTGTCATAACCTGCTCCGTTATGGCAGATGTACTTTAATGATGATGGCAGCACGGACAGCATCTCTGCGTTGAAAGGGCCCGTAAACTATTCGATTAGTCTCTTTTCTCTTTGCGCTTGCTCGTGATTGAATTACCTTGGTCGAGGCATTGGATCGATAGATGGCAACTACATCATCATAATCGCCATTCTTGCAGTTTTGGATGAAGTCCTCCCGGGTGCCAGAGGGGAATTCCTATTCAGTTAGCAAAGATTCTCATATCTTGTATACTATGAGGCATACCTTGAGCGTCAAGAACGACGACAGATCCTCCCATTCCTTGCGGGCGTGCGTGATAGCACCGATTAACAGAGCAGCAGAAGCCATGATATGATGTCAAGAGATCGAGGTTGTGTAGACAAAGAACAAGAATGTACAAGTATACACAAGGTATAGCAATGTAATTGAAGAATCGAAAGAAATAAAAGATGAAGCAACTCGGGGTATCTCCTAGACGGGAGTTTTTACGGCATCGATGACCAACTTGATACTTCAATTTCCATACTACAGCGAGTTTATCAGTTCCGTTCACCTAAATACTAATACAGCAATTGTTATGCCTGCCTATTCGAGCTAGTATAACAGATTATCCCAATAATGGCCCTCTATTTACAATTACTCTACGCCTGTCCATTAATCCTCCGTATACCGTATGCCTTCCCCGAACAATGCGGTGCTCCTCCGCCGTATGTGCTCCTCCGTACAATGTCATACCATCGGCTATTGACATCCCGCCTCGCTGTTCAATTCCCGACGCCCTATCAATGGCCGACAACGTGGGGTAAAATACTTCGGTCTGCCCTTTACAAGTACGCGATGTATTACTCCAGAGAACAGGCCCTTTCTGGTTCATGACGATAGAAATCGCTCAATTTCTATCCCTGTAATCTATAATCTCAGCGGGGGAATTTTTTCCCCACGGCTTTCGGATATTGAGTGAGGGATCCGAAAGTGTTGTCCAGTGTATTCCGTAGATTTAACCTCTTCAGTTCGCATATTCGATATAAATCTAGCTCTTCCCATACTTTACTTCCTTTTATATATTCTACTACTCTATATTATCAAAAATGGCAGCCGCACAATCTACCAAAGCGCTTGTCCTCCACGGCGCCAAAGACCTCCGCATTGTACGTTACAAGAAGTTCTAGAAAAGAAAAGCGAGACTAATCTAACAAAACCAGGAATCAAGAACCATAACCCCTCCCAGCGGCACTGAAGTCCAAATCGCCATCCGCGCAACCGGTCTCTGCGGCTCAGATCTCCACTACTATTCCCACGGCCGCAATGGCGACTTCGTCGTCCGCGAACCCATGTGCCTCGGCCACGAGTCCTCCGGCACAGTCACAGCCCTGGGCCCCAACGTAAACAACCTGGAAGTCGGCGACCGCGTCGCGCTAGAAGTCGGCATCCCCTGTCGCAAATGCTTCCTCTGCAAAACGGGAAGGTACAATATCTGCCCTGAGATGAAGTTTCGGAGTAGCGCGAAGGTGTTTCCGCATTTCGACGGGACGCTTATGGAACTTACGAACCATCCGGCGGAGATGTGTCACAAGTTACCTGAGAACGTGTCGTATGCGGGGGGTGCGCTCGTGGAGCCGTTGGCAGTTTGTCTGCATGCGATTAGGCGTTCGCATCCGCCGACTAAAGAAGAGGTAGCACTGGCCGAGGAAGTCGGGGAGGGTTTGTCGGCACTGGTGTTCGGCGCTGGTGCTATTGGGTTGCTTTTAGCTGGTGCGCTGGCTACGGCCGAGAACTTCTCGTCGATTGTCGTTGCGGACATCGATGAGGCGCGGTTGGAGATTGCCAAGTCGTTGGGCTTGGGGCTGAAGACTTATCTCATTCCCAAGTCTGATCCGAACAATCCGCCTCCGGCTCGTAATGCGCCGCAGGCCGAACAGGTTGCATATGCGCTGCAAAGTGCGCAGCGCAACTCTGCTGGCCTGAAGGAGGCAAATGGTGTGAAGACTGGCTTCTCGCGCGTGTATGACTGCACTGGTGTGCCTACCTGTGTGCAGACTGGTATCTACGCCGCCGGTGCTGGCGGTGTGTTAGTACAGATCGGTATGGGCAATCCTGTGCAGACACTTCCTGTTGGTGCTGCTGCGCTGCGTGAGGTTGATGTTATCGGTGTGTTCCGATATGATGGGTATGCGTACCCTGCTGCTATTGGGTTGTTGGAGAGTGGTAAGTTTGCGCGTGTTGAGGAGCGGGTTGTTACACATCGGGTGAAGCTGGAGGAAGGGGAGAGGGCATTTGGGTTGGCTGGGAAAGGCGTTGATGAGAATGGGACGCCTGTTGTTAAAGTTGTTATCGAGGGCTAAATTGTTTTGTTTTGTATACCCGATTATTTGCATCAGTTGCTGAGGTAAAGGAGTGGGGTTCTTGGGAGCATGACTGGAGAATTATATTCTGTTGATTATTGGAGGGTATCTGGAGCGTATAGGTAGACGAATGTATGCCCAAAAGAACTAGACAGTTATATATAATATCCTTGGGGAAAACGCCATCTATAAACCTCACATACTACTTCAACCCTCCCGCCAGCAGGAGACTCTGCCCAGTCATATATCCAGTCATAACAAGCATAGTCACCACATTAGCGACCTCATCAGGCGTCCCCACTCGACCAAGTGGTATACTCGCTGCGATCTCAGGAACAGACTGGGCGTTGGGTATCATTCCAGTATCTCCGATAATTGCTGGTGCCACATCGTTGACGCTGATGTTGTGTTCTGCGAGACGAGTCGACAGGTTCTTCATCATACCGGTCATGCCGGCTTTGGAAGAGGCGTAATCTACATATCACATAGTCAGTTATCTAGCGTGGTATATCTTCAAAGGAGTGGCGCTACATACGGCATCCATTAATCCCTCCACCGTATCCAGCTATCGAAGACATGAGCACAATCCGGCCCCATCGTTGGTCCCTCATGTGTTCGACAACGCCCTTCACAAGGATAAACGAGGCGCGGAGATTGACGTTGATCGTATGATCGAATTCTTCGAGTGTAATGTCCCAGACCTGCGGCACGCGCTTACCATATCCGGCATTGGAGACGAGGATATCCGGTCGCTGGCCATGTTGTTGGTCGATCTGCTCGAACATTGTCTGGATTTGTTCTGCGGAGGCCACATCCACCTGATGGGCCGAGATACGAAGGGGCTTATCGTCGACCGTGGGGTATTTGGTTTTGAGTTCCTCGACTAGACTGTCCATTGCTGTCTTGTTACTGGAGTAAGTCAGGGCCAAATGAACACTCTTCTGAGCGAGTTGGTGTGCACATGCTGCTCCGATTCTGTAAAAGTCAGATCTGAGCTCTAGAAAAAACATGGAAAAGTGGCTTGCCCTCCAGATGCACCTGTGATCAACGCCAGCCGACCCTTTATTTCATTCAGCGCCATTGTGTATATTACTCAATTGAAATATGCCAATTGAGCTATTCGTAGACGGGGAGTTGTTGTACAATTGTACTCCGAAGTAGGTCCCTCCCCCTCGGCTACTGCGTAGAAATACATATCGGAGGAAACACCGAGCATAATCCCCGCTATCCCCGCACTAATATTGGGGATAACGAGCACGAGACAGGTGCTGACGGTAATACCTGTCGCATACCCCAACGTCGTTGGCAAATTTGCCCGCAAGACAATTCGAGGACTCGAGGCCTTAACGGGTACAGGAAGAGCGTCTAAAAAAGAAGGCTGCTCATGTCACTTGGCCATGTTGACACCTGCCAGCTCTGCAAACGATCCTGTCCAGTCTGGTACAGATCAGGATTCTGGAACGCGTCAAACCCCATCCCTGCTCCAGAGATCTGGTCTCCGGAGACAAAGTCACCGACAGCCTCGAGATCCAACCAGGAGAAATCATTCGCCGGGCTGAAATCCACATGTTTATTCTGGTCGGAAAGGCAGTTTGAAAGTGTAGTCTGCATGATATCGTTGCTTTGCTGTGTGCCTGCGGGAGAAGTGATTGATGCAGGTTTGGTTTGCCAGAGAAGTTCTAGAAGGCGTGAGTACCGAGATCCGATGTCATCAGGGCCGGCGCTTGCCCGTTTCAGGACCTCGGTGGTTCGAGTGACGAGGTCGCGCACTGCCATTTCTTCGGAATGTAACATGACGCCGAATGAACGGGCCTGATAATGTAAGGTTCAGAATGCAATGCGAGTGGTTGTGAGTGACTTACCTTGTACAAGAATACTGCCGCATAAATACCGTACAAGTAGAATCGAAGCGGCATAAAGTGCAAGTGCTTTTCTGGATCAACTAAGTCCACAAGAATAGACAGGTAAGCTTTGGCAGCATCCAACGATTCATAGATGAATCGTGCATCCTGCAAAGATGCCACATTGTTGAATGCCCTTCGCAAATGCTCCTTCTGAGCGTGAGCATCACCGTTAACCTTTGATGCCAATGACTGCGATATTGTTGCCTGAAAAGCAAATGCGTTGGTATAGAGCCTCAGATACTCGTATGATAGCTGCAATGTAGCGCGGATGGGAGGAGAACCTGTGGATAATTAGCATGACACGGGAATACAGAGATTCGACAACGTACAATGTAATGACCCCCAAAGGGACTTCCAGCGCAGAATGGCAAGACGAAAGTCATCCACATATTTGACATAATCGCCCATAAGCATCATTTGGTTGCTGGTGCGCATGCCAGAGTATAGTACGTCGTGGACATTCCCATACAGCTGCGTGAGATCCAACGTGGCTTGGAAAATCTTCGCATGGTCCTCTTCCCCTTCTTTGACAGGTTGCAAGGAAGGAAAATCCTGACTGACCAGTCCTGTCATCGGGCCAGGCCCTCGCGACCAGAAAGCGCGCCCAATGCGAACAGAAATCAGACGATCAGAGATGTAGCAGCTGGTCCAGGCCAATCGCCTGCGGGCCTCTGTTGCCGTATCTCCTGATGCATCGCCTCGGAAGGATGTTCGATCCAAGCCGAGGAAGTAACCTGATCGTAACGCGAGCCCAATGTGCATCCATGCGGCACGGTCCTCTTCTCCTCGACCAACGCGTTCAATGCGCGGGCGTAGACCTTGAGGTTCCCATTCCGCGAGAATGAGCAGGGCCTCCACGGCTTCGACGTCGCAGTCAGCTCCAGCGGCAATACCAGAGATCAGCTCGTGCATGTATCTGGAACAATATTCATGGATTTCTGGTCGTTCCACCAGGTCCTTGGAAGCGATGGTGAGAACGGCGGTGAGAAGATACTTTTCATTGGTCGCAAAGGCATCCAGGGCATTGCGATCAAAGTACTTGCGTGGTACCAGCGGTAAGTATGGGTGGAAATTCTCGGCGTAGCGCACCACGAGCTGCCACACCGTTGCTGGATCTAGGGAGCGCGCTTGGACGAGTCTATATGTTTTGATGCCACTGTTTGTCGAAAATTCAGTCACCGAGCCACTCTGTAGCGTGCCGTAAGTCGAAAAACCACCTGAACCAGGCAAAGATTCTGCAATCGTCTCCGCGGTATTGCCATCCGTACCCCGTTTCGCAATACCCGTCAAACACTGCCATGCATCCGATGGATTTCGCGGAACTGAGCCAATAGACGCCGTGTCATCGTCGTCCACAGAAACCGACGTTGTTGTCGTTGGGGGATTGGGCGGCATGAAGACCACGGGGCCGGGGTAGGACGCAGCCTGGCGGTTTTCCGAGCTGGGCGAACTGACTGTATCCAGATCGGATTTCTCCTGAGCCGAGACCCCAGGAGTGACATTTTTCAGTTTGTTTTTGCGAATTCGGCGACCGCCTCGATTCGAACTGCCCAGGACACAATCACGACCATCGCGGATACATCGTTGACATGGCGGAACACCTGGGCTGCCGCTACCATCTCTGTTGAGAATTAGCAAACTATCTTTGTCCGACGTAATAAAAAGAGAGAATAAAGTAAACCTACAAATCGCACTTAGATTTGCGCTGCCGACAGTGCAGACACGCCCTCGACACACGCTTCATGGCATCCGAACGGGACCTGGCCCTCGACATTGGAGGATGTTCGAACCGAGGCGATTGTTCATCTTGCTCCATCTTGATCGCTGGACTTCAAGTAAGTCATAAATTTCTCTGACAACCACGATGCTCAAGCGGCATTTTCCAGAGTCGGTTAACGTTAGGAGATATGCTCTCAAAAGGGCACAACACGAGAAAACAGGTAAATCAACAATAGAAAAAGAACTGTCCAGATCAATCGCGCAAGCAGAGAAAATGCATGGTTTTGTCGCAGCAAGTCCGTGGCCGTAAAAGTAGTAGTAATATGTACTTGTAGTCAACGTTAACTGGGGAAATAATACGAGTGCCTTTCCTGGAGTGGTTCTTTCTCCACACCCCACACCAGAACGGGCAGCCAGACGAGCTTTCAACTAGAAGGATTCCCTTTCCTACTTTGTGGTTGAAGACTTCTTTCCCCAAGAACTGTTTTGGGGTAATAAAGTGCGCCGATGAGTCAGCCATTGTGCAGCTGGTAGAATATTCATCCAGGAGAATGGAAAAGCATATATTTGTTTCTCATAGTTCTGGAGGAAGGGGACGTAAATACAATACAGTGCCGTATCTGATATACACAACAGGTTGGGAAATCGCATTTTTCTAGCCCCTAACTTAACCATGCTCTCAAACCTAGCTGAAATAAAGAGCCTTCGATTGGTTTATATACCATCGTATCCCGTCTGTGTCTAGTCTCGGATGTATGACCAGGCAATCCGGCAATTCATCGACAGGGTCTAACTATGTTATCCATGAAGAAAATCAGGTCAGAGCATATCCTGGACCCTTTCTGCAGTACTATATAAGCTATCTGTGCATCCCTACTGTAGGGCCTGTCTAGCAATCTGTATCGGGACCCTGGTTGATCTTGCGCTTGCAGACAGACATGCTTTACACACCATATGGCTATACATGCAGCACCCACGAGGTTGAACAGGAAGGATATGTGCCACTTTACCCCATTTCCCCGTATTTTGGAAAGAAATCTGGTGGTGTTCTGGTAACACGGCGACGTAATCAGTGTTTGTTGTTTGGATTTCAGCCGGCTGTCAATTTGTACTCCACAATTGGCCTTCTACAAGCTGCAAACTGTCGTCAAATGAATCATTGTATTACACGCGATGTGGCATCAATTGCAACAAATATATCGTATAGAAGGCTTCTTTATCCCGTCGAGACTGAGATGCCGTAAATTACACATCTAGATCCATGTGACGACAGTATCATGGCGATGATGCTCGGCCGTGCGCCGATGACAAGCAATAGCCGGAAGTGGAGCGGCCGGTAACGGGTCGGCAACGGAATTCACCTGGTTTGGAAGCCCCGCACGAGGGGCAGTGAAGCCATCGCAAGGAAAGCCGGGATCAACTGCAAAAAGATACATAACAGTAATAATGTAAGCAGCAGCTCGATCATCGCGCATTAGAACGCGAGGACGGATTTATAGTATTGAAAAATATCTTCCTATCTACCAGATTCCCTTGGACGTGATTGAGCCATTCGCATATCGCAGTCGATAGATACAGATCTAGTTGCGAAACCTTCCACAGAATCACAATGACAGACAGCGTTGCTTCCCTTTTCTCGCTGACCGGCCAGACGGCCGTCGTCACTGGTGGAACAAGAGGCATTGGACAGGCTATGACCATTGCTCTTGCAGAGGCTGGTGCCGATATTGTGCTCATCCAGGTGTGCATGCCTTTGATCACTACTTGTAGCCGTTTAAAAACTGACTGGGAATAGAGAGACGAGTCCAACACATCAACGCGCGATGAAATCATTAATCGCATTGGCCGGAAGGCGTCAATTCACGTTGCGGAACTATCGAACCGAGAGGCAGTCAAGAATATCATTCCGGCATTAACAAGTCAAGGCATCAAGCCTCAGATCCTTCTGAACTGCGCTGGGATTCAAAGGAGACATCCTAGTGAGAAGTTCCCGGATGAGGATTGGGATGAGGTGGGTATTTTCATTCGACAGCATTAATCCACGGCAAGGGGCTAATATAATGGTGATCAGGTCATCCAAGTCAACCTGAGCTCCGTCTTTACACTCTGCCGCGAATTTGGCGCCCACCTGTTGTCCCTCGATGCCTCTGAATTCTCTAATGGCCACCGTGGCTCCATAATCAACGTCGCATCTCTTCTCACCTTCCAGGGAGGATTCACCGTCCCCGCCTACGCCGCCTCCAAGGGAGGTGTTGCTCAGTTGACCAAGGCTCTGTCGAACGAATGGGCATCCAAGGGTATCAACGTCAACGCAATTGCCCCCGGATATATCGCCACAGATATGAACGTTGCTCTTATCAACGACTCAAACCGCAATGCAGGTATCATGGCCCGGATTCCGGCTGGGCGATGGGGAGCGCCGGAAGACTTCAAGGGCGTAATTGTGTTTTTGGCAAGCCGGGCCAGCGGCTATGTTTCAGGTGAAGTGATTACTGTCGACGGAGGCTGGATGGGTCGGTAGGCAGCCTTATGGACCCATAGGGGACTGCGATGGATCAATGTAAATAGACCACTGTGATTATTATTCTCTTAGATTTGATTGACTCTATGCAGCGCATGGGAGTTCCTTTCGAATCAACCAAGCAATATGGACTGTCTGCAATAAAGTCATGCCACTTAGTCTCATCCAGGTGCAAGCAATCTATCCGAAATGTATTCATTCCGAGTGTCTCAGCGGCCCGTTATCATTCCTCGATTTAGATTGGCATGAGAGGAACCATCACCCTCAATTTCACATTGGATACCAGGCCCCTCATCAGTTACCATCCTTAGACCACGAATAATCTAGGTGACAAGATGGACGCAGTGGAATAGATGAATATCGATACCACCCAGTTCCGAAGCTGGCTAGTGTCGCCCGTGACCCATGATTTTTCCGACTGTGACGGGTTCCTTTTTGTTTCAACCCATCGCATGCCATTTATTTGCTATCTTCGCTGATACTAAAGAATTGAAAATCATAGCCTGGTTCTTGCAGCGACCGAAAAATGCAATGTATTCCTCCGTACAGAGTACTTGTACTCTCGCTCCAGCCCCGGCGCCGGTGGGTCGTCGGTATGGCAGCCACAGAATAAAATCACAAATGTAGCGAGCGTTTCAGCATGAAAGGCGCATGGTGAGACGGCACCATGCGGTGGCCATTCCCGGCATTGTCAAATAGAAATGCAGGCGATAATCGGTCAAAGTCAGTCAGCATCCGGACAGTGCGGGACAGACAGGCAGACAGACAGGCAGAGGTTTTCTGGCCAGTGCTTTGTTCACGGCGAATCGCCCCCCTGAAGGCTCGGCGTCAATATCCTACATCGTTGTCGAATCAGCTTCACGATCTGCAAGGACCCCATGATTTGATCACAGCGATCCCCTAGACTGTTAGCCACCTTTGGTCAAGGAAAAGAGTGTCTGGCAGACCGCAGAAAGCAACGTCCCGGCAGGCTATTTTAATTCCACCCTGGTTAACTTATCCGTGTGGCTGCTGCAACTATTGAATCGAACACTAGCCAGGATCCTCTTATGCGCCTGATTGAGGGCAATTGCCACTAAGCAGCCTCTGGGTCCATTTATTTCTGGTGGCACCATACCTGTCGCTAGTCGGAGGTCTAATTTCGAAATTTTCTCTCGGTACAGAGTACGGAGTACTATTAAATGCATTTCCCTCTCTTTAAGTTGGTGGCTGCCCCGTGGATCATCGGCCTGACGTATGGGTTCTTTCTCTCATTGCACTCTTTTCACTGCTCTCTCCCCCCTTTTCGGGTGTGATATTCACTGCATTTCCTGATTGGGCCAGACTGGCTCTGCGGCCCTACTCCGGAGTAGATCTAACCTCACCTCTTTCACTTTCGCTTTCACATTCTTCCTCTCTTCCTCCTAGGAGACTCTTCTCTGCCATTCTTTTTTTCTCTCTCTTTCGTTCTTTTTAGGGAAAGGTGTTCGTTCTTTTTCTGTCTTCCTCGTCCCTCGTTAATCTACGCTAGTCCCTCCGCCTCCTATCTCCATACAGGAGAGGTCTTGGACAGACAGACACCACTATCATTCCCCTCATTCCATCCCCTCGTTCTACTGTTTTAACTGCTTTTTGACGTTGAGCGTCTTCGATCGCATCGCTCTTGCTGCTGGATACTGCTCTGATAATGCATGCAGAGAACCAGGGTGAGTGCAGGTCCAGGCTGGCTCACCACGCTGGCTGAAACTAACGTCTGGTTTCGAACATGTAGATAATCAGAAACGTCTAGCGTCCTGCGTCACTTTCTGCTGTTGACTTTCTTTACCCCGGCTCTTCCCTATTTCGGTGCATGCCTTTCGTCCTCTGACGCAAACGGCATTGTTCGCACCTCTTGAGACAACAATAAAAGACCTATCAATCAACCAACCAGCCTGCACAAAGCAAGAAGGACAAACGTGTTTGTTGCTGCGCAAGTCTTCATACTTCTTCTTTTTTCATTTTTGCAGAATTACTCTCAACTGAATTCTGGCTTCGAGATTCCGCGTGTCCGCCATCCGCATTCCTCTCGTTCCCTTGACATCGAGCATTTTCAGAATTAAAGACTGCATTTCTCGCATACAAGTGAAGCTACTTGGCTTCTACTTCCTTCCAGTCAAGGACGTTCTCCGAACAGCCGACCTTCGCGCGATTTGTTTGGTCGTCCCCAAAATATCTCGCGTCGCCTCGAGTCACCCCAGTGGCCGGGGTCTAGCTACACTTTATCCTCATTCATCAGCTTCCAATGGGGAATTTGCGACGGTTGGTCGCCCCGCGATCATATGGATCCAACGCTACTTATGTTTACGAATATTCGCGGGGGTTAAATGGCGTCGACGTGCCCAAGGATGTCATTTTCACGCGCATTATCGTCGTCTCCATCCTAGCCGTGGCCTTTATCGTGTTCTGCGGTCGAATCGCCCAGATCAGCCATTCAACCCTCCGTCATGTTACGTCGCTAGGATCGAGCAGAAAGCAGCAAACATATTGGAGTGTCGAAGAGTCGTCGCTATGGACAAACATAAAGAAACACGTTCTCTACGCACCTCTGGGTCGGAAGAGACATAATCGGGAGATCCAACTGTCAAGTGCAGTTAACATCGGCACGCTCCCATCCAGATTCCAGATGATCATGATCATCCTCTACATTGCATGCCAGTTCGCCTACTGCCTACTTTTGGACTATAAGGCGAACGTCAAGGAGGCTTTGGTTGCTGAGCTTCGTGGACGATCTGGGACGCTGGCTGTTTTAAACATGGTGCCTCTGTTCCTTCTCGCAGGCCGCAATAACCCACTGATCCCCCTGTTGCGACTCAGCTTCGACACTTACAATCTTCTCCACCGGTGGCTGGGTCGTCTTGTTGTGCTTGAGAGTTTGGTGCACGTAGCAGCATGGGCAGTGAACGCATGCCGTGAACAGGACTTTTCAGACATGTTATGGCGTATCCGCACCGTCCCGTTCTTCTCATGGGGTTTCCTGGGTACATGTTCCTTTGTCTGTCTGGGTCTTCACTCGCCCTCACCAATTCGTCATGCGTTTTATGAGACCTTCCTTCATCTTCACCAGCTGTTTGCCTTTTTGGCTGTTGTGGGCGTTTACGCGCATTTGCATATTGACAACTTACCGCAGAAGCCGTGGCTTATCGCGATCATCGTCATCTGGCTATTCGATCGGTGCTGTCGCATGGGCCGACTCATCTACCTCAACTTCTCCCTCAAAAAAGGATCAACAAAACTCGTCGTTGAAGCCCTGCCAGGCGAAGCATGTCGAGTCACCTTCCACCTCCCCAAGCGCGTGCACATCAACCCAGGCTCCCACGTCTACGCCTACATCCCCAGCATCTCAAAATGGATGTCACACCCCTTCTCAGTAGCCTGGGTCGACCCCAGCACCTGCGTAACCCCCACAACAGCCACCGAAACCTTCACCCGAAGCAATGACAACAACAACCCCACAAGCTCAACCTCAACAATAGATGTGGACCCATCCCTCCTCGAAAAACAAGCCATCGTCAACCTTGACGAATACCTCGACACAACCAACAAACCAGCCTCTGTCTCCCTCATCATTAGCGCTCGCCAAGGCATGACCCGCAAGCTCTACAACACAGCCTCTGCCGCCCCAAACAACACCCTCTACACATCCGGCTTCATCGAAGGCCCTTACGCCGCTCACCCCATCAACATGGCCAGCTACGGCACCGCCGTACTCTTCTCCGCAGGAGCCGGCATAACACACCACCTCCTCTTCGTCCGCGACCTACTCATTCGCGCTGCTGAGGGCCGTGTCGCGACGCACCGCATCTACCTCATCTGGTCCGTCCGCAGCACCGACCATCTCACCTGGGTGCAGAGCTACATGGATCAAATCTTGCGACTACCCGGCCGACGTGACATCCTGGTTATCAAGCTCTTTGTGTCGAAGCCCAAGAGTACACGGGAGATTGTCTCTCCTAGTGCGACGGTGCAGATGTTCCCGGGACGGTGTCGTCCAGACGTTGTTCTTGACGAGGTGCTTCCGACGAGAGTTGGTGCTACGGCGGTGTCTGTTTGTGGGCCTGGTGCGTTTGCGGATGAAGTGCGTGCTGCGACGAGGGAGAGGATCGGGGTGGGGGCTGTGGTGGATCTCGCGGAGGAGGCTTTTACGTGGTGATGTTTTTCTTTCGTTCTCTCTTTTTTTCTACAGAGGGGTTTGTTTCTATTGTAACCTACCTTTCTTTCTGTGTAAAAGTTTCAGTCTATCGGGTTTCTTTTTTCAGCGACGGGTCTTATTTCCAGGGTACACACGCACACACAACAACACTTCTAGTCTCATATTTCCCACCATATGATGCACATCTTATTGAATATGATATCCATTCATTCTTTATTCGGATTAATTTGTACTCAGTATAATTTTTCTTTCATCTAGTTTACATGCAACATGCAACTTCTACTCCGTCCATACCTTGACTGGGTGTATAGTGACCAAAGTTTCAACAAACAATTTTCCTCAAACCAAACTCCCAGTCATACAGGAAGGGAAACAAGATAAAGAAACAAGAAAAATCACATTATTCTATTACAGCTCATCATGTGTCGGAACAGATTCCTTTTCTGGCTTCTGTTCCTTCTCCTTCTTGCCCTTGTTTCCGTTGCCCTTCTTTGTAGACTGGCCGTTCTTTCCAGACGCAGTTCCCAGCTTCGCGTAAACTCGCGTCAGGATACGCTCCAGCTCCTTCAGCCGAGTGTCAAGCTCCACGATTGTCAGAGCGGGATCATCGGATTCAGTGAGTTTGGCTTGCTCCGCGAGCTTGGTTTCGAACCAGGTGCTAGTAGACTCGTGAATTTTGGAGAGGGAGGATAGGTCGCTAGGCTGGAAGATGGAGTACTTCGGGCCGGTAGGCTTGGGGGTTGTGGTTGTTGAGGTAGTCTTAGACGAAGAAGGGGAAGAGTAAGAGTCCTGCTCCAAGTCCTCAAGGGGATCGGTGGATGGCGTAGCGGATTCGCCAGCTGAAATGGACGATGATGCCTCGGTTGCGCTGGAAGATGCAGACGAAGAGTAGGCGTCTTCATCCTGCTTAATTTGCTGCTTCATAACGTCGATGATAGTCTGCGAGTTCTTCAGGACTTCCTTAATCAACTCCACCCTGACCGGCCGGTCAGCGCTTTCCTGCTTCCTCTTGAGTGCAGGGCTGACAATGTCCTTTAGGGACTTGAGTTTCTGTTGGAATTCGGCGGTCTTTGCATTCTCGCCGTCGCCATACAACCACTCGCTAGCAGCAGACACCAAGTCCTTGAGAACAGACACCTGATCGCCCTTGAGGTTCCTAATGAACTCCTCATCCTCGACCAAGTCCCGGCTGCGATAGATGAACGACTCCAGATCGTTCAAAGCCTCCTCGCGTAGATTACGGTCACGGTCGGAGGCGTCGAAGGCAGATAGGCGGTTGATGATGCGAGTGATTTCTGCGTATGAGGGGGCGGGAATACCCCGCGGCGACGTCTTAAAGCTAACAGGGATAACCCTGACCTCGGCCTCAGGGGTTCCCTTCTTGGCCTCGATAGTGGTAGTCGAGCTAGCATCAGAGGCAGTGGATGTCGAAGCTTGAGACTCTTCAGCTTCCAAAGTGATAGACTCACCAGGCTCTCCGTCCTCACCGAGAGGAGCCTGACCCTCCTTCTTGGAGCCCAGGCCAAAGAAACCCTTGACATCATCAACAATGCCCTTCTTCGCGCCCTCAACATCACAACTGACAGAACCACCGACAACCTCTGGGAGTCCACTGATAGGGCTAAGGCGGACAGAGAACTTGGTAGTGATGTTGGCGTCCGAGCAACCAAAGTCGCCCTTTAGCTTAGCAACAGAGGCAGTGAGATTCTGCGTCTCCACGGCCAGAACCGGAGACTCAGTAACTGCACCGCCGGGAGCAATGTGCTGAGAGAAACTAAATTCAAAGTCCTCCAAGTTCTTCAACGTAACCTGCTTCTCAGGGCCAACCTGGGACGTCGAGGTGAACAGCTTCTGCTGTCTTTCCTTGCCGTCGGCAGGCCACTTCAGCGAGACAGCGTAGGAAGCGGCGTCACTAGCACGAATGTCCTTGACACGGAAACTAGGGCTGAGGGCAGCACCCTTGAAGGCTGCACCGAAGACCGCTGCCTCATCAGCGTTGACATTAGTCCTGAGCTTGTTTGGGACTCCACAAATGCGCTCCAGCTCCTTCTGGACAAACGGTGTGCGGATGGCACCACCATGCAAGATAACAGAATCAACATCAATCAACTGCAATCCAGCAGTTGTCAAAGCCTGCTCCAAAGGTCCACCGACTCGCGCAATATGCTGCGCGGCCAGCTCCTCGAACTTGGAACGACTGATGCGATACTTGAAGTTCAAGTCCTCCTCGTACAGACTTTCAAACGAGGCTCCAGTTTCCGTGTTGGCACTCAGGACTTGGCGAATTTTTTCGGCATCTTTCCACAGTCTCGCCATGGTCTTTCCGTGGCTTTCGACGGTCGCAGGGGTAACACGACCCTTGAGGGTCTTGTGCTCGACCAGATTCGCGATCATGTCCTTGACAATGAGGTCGTTCAGAGCGTCGCCTCCAAGAGACTTGTCCCAAGCCGAACCCAGGACTTGAACTTCCTGAACAGTCTTGTTGAATTTACCCACATCCTTCACGGAGCGGCCCTGGAAACGCAGAACACTGGCCGTAGTAGAACCAGCACCCATGTCATAGACGACGTGATACTCCGGCTTGTGACCCTCTGAGACACTAGGGAACGTACGGCTAGTGGCGTAGTTCATACCAACCGCGAGACCATCGGTAATAAATGAGTTCACGTTCAAACCGGCCAACTCAGCCGCCAATTCGAGACTTTTTTTCTCATCGGCGGTATAGAACACCGGATAGGTGATAACGGCATCTCTAATATCGGACCCTGTACCGGCAAGATTCTCGGCATTACCCTTGATCTGCTTCAATTGCATAGCCAAGAGTTCCTCGACCAAGAACGCATCTTTCCGCTCCGACTCACCGAGCCGGTTACTCCGCAGACCAACAGTGCCGCGCTCACCAGGAGCAGCTTCCAACCTCAAAGCTGGATATCGGTGCTGATACGTTTGGATTGTCTCGTCGTCGACATTAAACGGGACACCAAGTAGAGTCTTCAGATTCGCGTAGACATCGTCGGGATACCGCGCCGTCAGACCAAGCGCATCACCACCGTAGAACCTCTCGGGGAACACGGCGTTGTCTCTCGTAGGCTTGAATGCGACGGCAGCCGTCTCTTTGCGCTTCGAATCCTTGGTGAGGACGATCTCGAGTGGGATTCCGGGCTTCACTAATGCTGCTTTGAGATATTCGGTTCCGACATCGATACCTATCACCGCTGACCCGGCAGCGGCTGCTTGGGCGGGGAAACTGAGAAGGAAAAGAAGGAATGGAAGGATCATGACGGAGAGGAGGGGAGAGGATAGCGCATGTAACCGTTGCCGGCCATGAGAAGGCATTGTCTATGTGTTATTCCAGCTGCAAAAGTTAGACTTGTCATCATCTTTTATACCGACTTAATATATCGCGACATACCTCGTAGCTGTTAAGAATATAAAACCGTGTAATCAAACGACAGTTCGGGACTCCAGAACGACAGATATATAGAGCTAAACAGAACAACGGCGGACCTCAATCAAACCAAGCCATCTAGAAAACAAGCGCAAGGCGTACTGGCCACCTGGCAGAAAATATCAAGGGGGACAGATTCAAATAAAGAAGTCTGAAGATGATTGAAGAAAGAGCGAGATTGAGCCTCTTAGGATGAGGACACGTTTGGCCGAGGCAGTGCAAACACTTCCTGATATGGCAAGTTTGCACAAGGCGATCTCGGCGATCACAAGGCAAAACCAGGCACTACAAGTACTATAGATCCATGCAAAATAGCATAATGCAAAGCGATTACCATTAAACATGTCGCATCAACTTATATACTCGTAACTTTTTCCAAACCTCACTTCATCTACAGTCCACCAGAAATCCAACAAAAAGGAAATGTTCACTGGGCATCCGCCTGTTTTGTCAGCTCCTCTATATCGACCTTAAGTCCGGTGGTGCCACTGGGAGCAACTTCGACCGCAGCGTTATTTGAGCCAGTAAGCTGATCAAGAGCCACAAGATCCTCGTTTGTCAGATCATGGGAGCGGATGGGACGGAAAGGAGCAGGAGAACCAGCACGCGATGTGAGGAACTGTAAAACAATTAGCTTCACGATATAGAAAATGAGGGAAATGATGAATTTACCGAGCTAGCAGCACTGAGGAGGGCAATCAAACTGGCCTGGACAACATCCTGGTGGATACCAACACCCCAGATTGTCTCCTTGCTGCCGGCCGCTGTGCACTGAATGTACGTAGCGGCCTTGACATCTCTACCAGCCTTGTCATCTCCAACTTTCTTACCGATGGAGTGCTCCTTGTAGTCGACAACGTCGAGGTCAATACCCAAAGAGGATAGGGCGGTAGCCAGGGAAGAGATGGCACCAGGACCGACACCGGTAATGGCATGTTGGACGCTATCAATCTCAATAATACCAGTGAAGCGACGCTTGAGGTTCTGGGTGTTGAGGGCTTTGCCGGGCTCCGGCGGGGCAGGAGAGGTCGACCGGTCGGTAGTGATGTTGTAGTCGACCAGATTGAAGCGCGGGTTGGTGTTGAGGTGATATGACTCTTGGAAGAGGTTCACAATCTCCTTGGGCTGCAGCTCCCGGCTAACAGTCTCAGTTTCTCTCTGGACAATCTTACTGAACTCAACCTGCAGGGCACGGGGGAGATCCAGCTCCAAGTACCGCAGGATGACCCAAGCGGTACCACCCTTACCACTCTGGGAGTTGACACGGATAACCGCCTCGTAGTTGCGTCCAATGTCCTCAGGGTCGAGAGGGAGGTAGGGAATCTCCCATTTAGGCTCGTCACCTCCCTGTGCACCGTCCTCACGCAGCTTGAACCCCTTCTTGATGGCATCCTGGTGACTGCCACTGAAGGCACAGACGACCAGCTGGCCACCATATGGCCACCGCTCGTTGACGGGGATCTTGTTGCTCTCTTCCACAAGCTGGATGACCGAGTTGAGATCCGAGAAATCAACATTAGGGGTGACTCCTTGGGTGTACAGGTTCAACGCAAGAGTAACCAGGTCGACATTACCGGTCCTCTCACCATTTCCGAACAAAGTACCTTCAACACGCTGAGCACCAGCCATCTGAGCCAGTTCCGCTGCTGCGACAGCACAACCACGGTCGTTGTGCGGATGTACCGAAACAACATACTTTTCTCTTTCAGTCATATGCGAGCAGAAGAATTCGATCTGATCGGCGAAAACGTTGGGAGTCGCCATCTCTACTGTCGCGGGAAGGTTGAAGATGATGGGAGCCTCCTCTGTGGGTTCCCAGGCAGCCTTGACTGCTTGGCAAACTTGTGCCGCATATTCGGGTTCGGTGTCGGAGAAGGTCTCGGGGGAGAATTCAAAGTGCCATTCGGTGCCGGCCATGGATGGGTCATCCTTGGTGATGGAGCGAGCGAACTTGGTGCAGCGGACAGCAATCTCTAAGCTCTGTTCCTTGCTGGTGTTGAACACAATACGGCGGAAGCATTCGCTGGTGGCCAGGTAGATGTGCAGAATCGCCTTCTTTGCGCCCCTGAGAGACTCGACTGTGCGGCGGATGATATCCTCACGGCAGGGGGCCAGGACCTGAAGCCAAACATCGTCGGGAACAACACCGGGGGTCTCGACCAGGCGACGGGTGAAGTCGAAATCTGTTTGAGAGGCGGCGGGGAACGAAACCTCGATTTCCTTGTAACCAATCTCGACGAGCTTCTGGAAGAAACGGAACTTTTGCTCTCCATCCTAAACCGGCGTGTTAGCGCACCAAAGAAAACCCAGAGAAACAATGCAATATACCATTGGATCCGGCAAACTTTGGTTGCCGTCTCTCAGATCGGTGGCCAGCCACCGGGGAGCCTTCTCGATAACCTTATCGGGCCATTGACGATTCTGGAGTTTGATGGGCTTGAAGCGCTTGTACTTTTTCGAGGGATCCTTGAGCCTATGGACATCGGATAGTTAGAAGACTGAGCAATTGAAGCGAGCACGGCAATGTCATAGAAATTGACGCCGGTAGCACATAGAGACATGAAGTCTCAAAGCCCGCCGGGATGCAAAAGCGGATGAGGGGTTCAAAGGATGTACATACATGGGCATGATGGCGGTAAAATAAGGATAGAGAAAGAGTTCTCAGGAGATATCAAAAGAAAAGAATCGACAATTCAGAATTGCAGCTTGCCGACCAATGCCTTTAAGAGAAAAGGAATTAAGAGTAGGGCGTAGGACTGCAGTAGTGAGTCAAGTCACATGTCCACCGATGACGCTCTTTTTTTCTTCTTTTTTTTCTGCGGCGCCGATGGCGGGGAGCGTCTACAAAGTATGGAGCACTATAGACAAGAGACAACCAGTGACATTCCAGCAATTAGACGTCCACCGAGATGCCCCGTTATTTACGGTATAAATTAATGCTGTTTCTATGTTTCATTTCCACTTTTACTCGCTTTGCCACGGTCTCTTCAACATGTTTTCACCCTCTTTTTGTGCTGTCGAGGGGCCCGATGATCGGAGTATCTTGTGGCCTGAGGCAGCAATATGCAAAATATGCCGCGGATAGCCGATGTCTGCGGCTGGTATCGGATATCTTCGTACCTGGCGAGCATCACGACTCAGGCCCTAAATCACTGTACTAGTACGCGAGTATTGTACTATGGAACCTATACAGCAGACAAGACCAATCCGGAATAGTATGTACTTCTATGACATTAAATGGATCGCAATGCATATTACAATGCATAAAACAACGCTTTCTAACAATCAAAGATCCTCAAAGAAGCAAGATCATTTCTTCCCCTTGCCCTTGCCCTTCTGGCCCTGCTTCTTACCATTCTTCGAAGCCGGGGGGGCCTCCCTCATTGCCTTGCCTTTCTTCCATCCCGAGTTACCTTCCTGTCTGGCCCGGCTATCATCCAGTCGCTTTTTATCCTTGTTCGACAACTTCACCTTGTCCTTCTTGCTCAAACCAGCTTCCGGTCCATTAAGCGCAGCCGCACCCTTCTTCTTTGCCTCCTTCTTCTGTTGCTCTGTCTCGAACCACGTCCGCTTCGGCCGTGCCATGATCTCCGCTCCATGCTTCATCAGGTTCTCGCCCTTGGTGACCTGCATCTCAGCTTGTGCGAACTGCTTCTCTGTCTTCTCCTCTTCGAGAATCTCGTCAATTTCCTCCTTCATGTTCTCGGCTTTGGTGGCCCAGGAGTCAGCGACGGCGGGGTCGATGACGCGGGAAGCGATCTTGGCGCCTTGCGCTTTACCGGCTCTCACGGCGGCTTTGACGACCTTGCGGTCTGGTTCGGCGGCGATGGTGCAGGCACGACCGGAGCGGCCGGCACGGGCCGTACGACCGACTCTGTGGAGGTAGAGTTCGTGGTTTTGAGGAGCTTCGTAGTTGATGACGGTTTCAACGCCCTTGATATCGAGACCACGGGAAGCCAGGTCTGTGGCCAGGAGGAAGGCGACGTGTCCTTCACGGAAGTTTTCAACGCTTTTAATACGCTATAGATTGTGTTAGTAGTCTGTGTATTTGCGTGGGATAGGAAGTAGAGCATACCTGTTCCTGGCTCATGCTACCGTGCAACTCCGCGGCCTTGAGTCCCAAGAGCCCGAAAACAATCCGAACCCGGTGCGCCTCGCGCTTCTGTCTGAAGAAGATAATGACACGACCGGTATAGATCTCCTTGCAGAGATGCATGAGGTACCCTAGTCGTTTATTCTCACGCCCAGGACGTAAACGCACAAATTCTTGCACCAGCGAAGAAGCAGTGTTCTTCTTCGCGTCGACCATCAAACGAACAGGACGGTTGAGACCGACACGGATAAGCTTGTCGACGGTGTCTGTCATGGTGGCGGAGAAAAGCATCGTCTGTCGCGACTTGGGGATAGTGGTGAGAATCTCGTTCAACTCATCGGCGAAACCGTCTTCAAGCATCCGGTCTGCTTCATCAAGAACCAAGATTTCCAGCGTGTCGACCGTAAAGCTGGCCGAGTTGCGCATGTGGTCGATGAAACGACCGGGTGTAGCGATAATCACATCGGGGCGCTTCTTCAGCACGTTCTCCTGCTCGCGCAGACTGAAGCCACCAACAAGTTGACAGAAGGTGATATCGGTGTAGGTAGCAAGCTTCGTAGCCACGTTGTAACACTGGACAGCCAGCTCACGAGTGGGCATCAGGATCACGACACGGCTGGTGGGAACCTTTCGGGGACGGAAGAGCAGACGCTCAAGGATGGGGACGACGAAGGCAGCTGTTTTACCGGAACCGGTAACGGCACTACCGACGATATCCTTGCCCAGCAGAGCCACAGGAACTGTCTTGCGCTGAATTGGAGTCGGGTTCGAGAAGCCAACGGCAGCCAGACCACGGAGAATAGGACGGGACAGGTTGAATTCCTGGAACGACCGCTTCGTATCGGCATTCGATTGTTCCGGGGTCTTCTCTTCGGGTGCAAAGAATGCCTTGCGCTTTTCTTGTTCCTCAGCGTCGACATCACTTTCGGCCTCCGAGTCATTGTCCGAGCCATAATCGTCAGGATGATTGACAGGGGTCGCTATCGAGTCATTATCAGATGCCGCATCATCGTCGTCCTCTTCGGAGTCGCTGCCTGCCTCTGAATCGTCGTCTTCCTGAGATCCAGCCTTGTCCTCTTGTTCGCTCTCGTCGTCTCCATCAGCACCCATACCGAACCCGTCAGTAGCAAGCAGTTCATCATCCTTGAAATCGACATCCATGCCATCTTCATCGCCACCGTCCTCTGCTTCGTCGTCAGAACTTTCCTTCTTTTGCTTCTTTTGCTTCTTCTGCTTCTTCGAATCGGCCTCCTTCTTCGCCTGTCGTCTCGAAATAATCTCATCAATATCCACCCCCTTCTTATCCCCATTCTTATCCTCGCCCTCTCCAGCACCCCATCCATCAAATCCCTCAACAACACCCTGATTCGCAGCACCAGCAACATCAAACTCGAAATCCGGATCTAAAGCCCCATCATCCTCGCCAACATCTGCTTCCTCCTCGTCCTCATCCTCCTCATCTTCCTCAGGCTCAGGTTCAGGCTCAGCACCCTTATTCCCCTTCTTATTTTTCTTCTTGTCGTCCTTTCCATTTGTCAATTGCTGCTTTTGCTTCTTGTTCTTTCCCTTCGTCGAAGTCTCGGCGGCTTCCCGTTTGCGCTTTTTCGTTGTCGCGAGCTCGTTCATATCTTCGCCATTTTCTTCGTCCTCTCCTTCGGCATCAATGGGAAGGTTCTCGTCGTCTGATAGGGTGAGGACGAAGTCGTCGTCGGGGTTGCGCTTGGGTGCCATTTTGCTTTCAAGGTGCGTGCGCAGGTCGCACAAAGTCGTGGTAGATTGAAAAGATATTCCTGCTAGAGGATGTTCAAAGCAAAGTAAAAGATCAGGAAGTATACACTTCTTTCCGCCTCCAATGGCGCTGTATAATGATGGGTTATTATTCGGCCTTTTTTTTTTTTTTTTTTTGCCGGGAAAAATGTTTCAATTTACGGAGGCGGTGAGAATAGTATGGATGGCAGAAAATAATAATGGGGGTTCCGCCTTTTGATTGGCTTTGGATACTTCGAGAGAGCAGTTCACTATCTTCTCTCTGTTATTATCATCTTCGAGCTTTTCCCTGGCTCCAGAGATAGTTATCACTAACACAAAATGAATTAAAAGAAATCCATCGATATCTCAAGAACAGACAAAACCATTGAAATGGAAGAGGACCGAATCAAAGATGATATAAGATCTCAACTCGTGCTCCTATCCTCAAGACAAATAGAAGAAAGTGACCGTCGAACTTGGTATGAAGACGACAGTTGTCGTGGTATTATGCATGAATGAAATTGAAAAGAAACAGCCCAAGTACAGAGGAAATGAAACCAGGAAGCTCCTGGTTGACGACAGTATTCAAAAGCTGATGTAGATCTTGTGTGATCTGGTCTTCATGTTAGATTTTAATGCTTCCAGCTGGACAAAGGGACATCGAGGTGATAGCTGCTGTCCAGAGACATGGTTTATTGCCATCAATTCCTGATGGTATCATCGTCGATAAGTCCAACTCTGCGGACAAGGTAGTTGACACAAAGACTGATAGATGCGTGAGTAACGATTGAATCGAAGAGGGAAGAGGGAACTCACAATCGATTAAACTTGATCCGAGTGCCCCTGAGCAGACCCTGTTGCTCAAAACCATAATTCTTTTCCAGCCACTCATGAATCCACTTGTACTGTTTACGATCCTCGTACGGGTAACTTATGGCGAACATAAGACAAGCAAGCCGGCGTCGCCCTCCTGAATAGTAGCCAGTACGATCCTCGAAGTCGGCATCGAAGAAGTAGCCACCAAGGGGGTTGTAGGTCCGATCGCACACCTCCAAAAGCTTGTCCATTAGGCATTTTCCGATACCCCGGTGTTTGAACTCGGGTCTGACGAAGATCTCGAGACCCGCAGTGAAGCGCTCAGCAGTCCGCTCACCAACGGTGTCAGTGGCAAGTGCGTAGCCTAGGATCTTCTGGGAAGAGTTGTCCCGGTTGTGGATGGACCTACGCTCAGCGGCGACGATGAAGGGCAGTCGTTCGCGCTTGGCGGTTTCAATACGTTCGCGGACTTCATCCTCATTAAGCGTGGCCACGTCGATGGTGAGGGGGGACTTGTGTATGTACCAGTTGAAAATATCGAGGAGCTCGGGTATATCACTCATCTCGACGGGGCGGAGATAGAGGTTTGCTTTCGGGGTCTGCAGGCTGGCCAAGGGAGTGGTGGCCTTGGTGCTCTCGATGTAGGCGTTGCGAGCCCGCACTCGTCGTTCCTGCTCTTCTTCTTCCTCACGCTTGATATGCAGCGCCCAGTTGTAGCAGTAGCCCTCCACCGTTTCGTGGCAATGAAGCTGGGATTCTCCGTCGTTCCAATCGAGACTGGTAGAATGGTCATCAAAGTCAGGAATCAAAAGTGACGCTTCTCCATCAGGATGGGCGGTGCCATCGAAGAATGCTGGATGGTAGATATCGACATAGCAACAGATCAAAAGGGTCGTGTCAAGCCAGCGACGGAACCAATCGCGGAACGCCTCGAAATTGGAACAAGTGCGAGGACGATACTCCCAGTTCGCGTAAAAGGCATCGCCCCAGTTGTGCTCAGCGGGCTGGACTGCAATGCTTAAATCGGCAGCATTAAGGTCCATCTGAAGACCAACCTCCTGACTGGACGCCTTGAGAACAAGTGCGGAATCTGTCGGTTCGGACAAGAGAACGAGTCGTCCATCATCAACAACGGGGTAAACCGCTTCAGTCTCCGTGTAAGCGGTCCACTGTGCCTGATACCGTTCAAGTTCAGTCTCAATATTCGGTCCCAGAGCGCCAACAAGCGACTGGACGGACGAATTCCTGTGGGATTTGCCTGGAACAACACGCCACCTAGAAAGCTCTTGATAAATCTTGGATTCAGGGTCTGTTCCCGGGCCCTCTCTGGCTTTTATCAGGGCTTCGGGGTTTGTAGAAGGCGTATCAAGATCCTTGAAGCGGTTTAGATGGGCCTTAACCACAATTTTCTGCTGCAGCCGCTTCAGTTCCTCCAGTGTCTCCTGTGGCGCAGATTTTTGAAGGCCCTTGAGCACATCGCTGTGAGGCTTGTTCTGCGATGGCCCCTCATCTGCAGAAGGGCGTCCAGCGTTCGCCTCGTTGCCCTGTGAGGGTGGCTCTCTCTTGACAGAGATATTGATTCTGCTATCCGATCGTCCATTCTGTGTAGGGTTTGACAAACGTCTACTCTCATTTTGAGCGATGTTTTGTTCAAGTACCTTTCGAGGCCTAGAACCGGCTCCGAATCTCCCATTGGTATCATTGCCTTTAAACCGACCGTTTCTCAGCATGACTTCGTCTGAGGCGTCGGACATTTTGACATGGGCTGCCTGTATGTCTCCTGGACCAGTTAGCCTCAAGGGACTTGACAAGGTATATGTTAGATTATTACTTACCGTTAGAAGCAACTGGCTGTTCTTTTACCAGAGGTAATGAGCTTGTTGTGTTACGGATAGACTTCTGACTCTCACTCTGAGGAAGCAGTCGAAAAGGAAGTCGGCTTCCTCCTGGAGGGGGTAGAGCTGATGGGACGATGGTGGACAGTGAAGTAAGAGATTCACTCTGCGCAACAGAGAAAGAGGGGTAGCAACTCGAGGGCTCCCGCGACTCCTTCGATGATACGCTCTCACCAACTGTAATAGAGTTCTTTCCCTCTTTTTCCTCCTGTGTGGTACAGGGAGTAGGTGTTGTTGGGAGAGAAACAAGAGGACAGTTATGGTTACTGGGTGAGTTGCCTGTGAGACTAGGGCAAGAACAGTATTGCTGCAGGAAGTCAGTTTGGGTGAATAGATGGTCTTTAGCTGCTTTGATCTTCTCCCAGAGGTCTTGATCCTCGTCCATATTCTATTCTCGTTGCATTTTGATGAGAGTCTAGGAGGCAGTTCTCATGCATTGTTATTTATACTAGCTGACTACAGCAAAACTTTCAAACAAACAATATAAGAATCACCCAAGTGAGCCATAAGAGGCCACATACAATTCACTAAAGAGGATGGTGAATATCAAATTGCTGTATGGCAAATTGGTAGTATAGCAAGGCAGAGACAAAGGCATAGTAAAGACAAAGAAAGACATAATCACTTCAAATCTTCCATCGTATATAATTTTATTCAATCTAACATTCTGGTTGTACTCATTTGCTGTTCTACGAAAGTCAGTGTAGTTAGTAGACATACTCCGCAGTCTGGACATCATTGGAGGAACTCGCCAAAAAAAAACAAGACCCTCAAAACTTTCACCTCCGACAAGAGAAGAGACCTTTCTCGAACAATCTCGCCAACAAAATGCTCTCAATATTAAGAAAAGCTCGGTTAAAGGACAAAGAGATGCGGATTCTGATGCTGTAGGTGTACACTCTCTTTTGGTGGTCTTGATGCTAATACCCCTCTAGCGGACTTGATAATGCCGGCAAGACCACCATTGTGAAGAAGATTATGAATGAGGATGTCAATACAGTTAGTCCGACACTGGGTTTTATTATCAAGACAATAGATTTTATGGGGTACGTTTTTCCCCCTCTCTTGTTGAAAATTTTATTGACTTCGTAGGTATCGGTTGAATATATGTATGCCGTTGGACGTCTCCAACTCATCATACCACGACTGACCATCATTAGGGGACGTAGGAGGCCAGAAAACCCTTCGATCCTATTGGAAAAACTATTTTGAAAAGACCGATACTTTGATCTGGGTAGTCGATGCGACAGATCGGCTTCGAGTCGATGACTGTCGAGAAGAACTGGCCGGGTTGCTCTTAGAAGAGGTAATCATTCTTTCTCTACATATTCATTGTACGTTTACTTTGCTAAAGTTCGAATTTTTCAGCGTCTTATGGGAGCTAGTCTCTTGATCTTCTTGAATAAGACCGATGTCGAGGGATGCATGAGTCAAGATGAAGTTCACGAGGTGAGTTTTCATTTCACTTATTTTTTTATCTTTTATTTTCTTTGATTACGATAACCTCAGCCCTGGTTTGCTAACTTTTCCTAGCGTCTTTGCTTGGATGCCATCAAAACACACAGATTGACCATATTGCCCTGCAGCGCCATGACCGGAAGAAACCTCCACGAAGGACTGGAATGGGTGGTCCAGGACGCGAAGGACCGACTATTCCTGTACTAGCCATGCGATTGACAGAGCATTGCGACACCTACGACTCCTTTCTCGAACATACATACGGAGTATTTGCAGAGTGGATAATTCCGGAAGACGCACTCCGTCCAAAGCACAGGGCACAAAATACCGAAGCGGAAAAACGGGGTTTTCCCCTTTTCTCGGGGGTAGGAAATCCAAAAAAAAAAAAAAAAAAAAAAATAGGGACCGACCGTACCGGGATAAGCAGAAAACCCAGATCCTCGGAACGGAACCATCGAGAACAAAAAACATAAATAAATGAATGTTGGATCTCATCTCGCGCGGGAGGAATGCTTGGTTGAGGATCTACTGAAAGTGTTTCCAAGCAATAATATATCTAGTTACGTATCCTCTTTGGTACGGAGTACTGTATCTGTATCTATGTTGACTCACCGTATATCTAGACTACGTACGGAGTACTCTGTACTTGTCACCGGCCTTTGTTCCTGGATCACTGAAATGCGTTATGTGTCAACTTCCGGGGCATATCATAGTGCTTAGTTCATTCTAGCCATAATTCGCCACTAAAAGCATTACCGGACCATACGGATGCTCCGAGTAGTTCGTTTAGCCGTGGTTTAGTTAGCCAGGTACAATGATGCCGGGTTCGCGGGGCGGCAGAGATGGCTCCACCGGAGTTGGGCAGATGTAAACAGAAAGCAAATAAGACAGTAAAGTAGAGAATGAGAAGAGGAGAGGGGAGAAAAGGAGTGACACAAGTGACAGCCACTGTTTAACTGAAAGGCCCTTTGTGCACGGAATTGCAATAGAGCATGTGGTATATCCGTACTCCGTACTCCGTACAATTCTGTATTTGGACTGAATAATACAGATTAGGCCACTGTGGAATAGCCAGCAAGGATGCAGTGGAGCTCTTTTTTGTAGTAATTACGCAGCAAAAGGAAAGAGAATTCTGACCTTCTTCACTTCTTTCCATCTTCTCAGCCGAGCTTATTTTGGTGCTGTTCTTAAGCTCCACCACCATCACCGAATGCCCCAAAATAGTCGACCATACAGGAAATCTCATCTTGAACCTCAAGAGCACACTCGTTCCGATCCAACAATCAACTCATCCATTCCCTTTATTCTACTATAATTTTACCTGTCTTGCCAATATCCATACTTTCTCTACTGCCTGTATCCTTATATTTTCTCTGCATCATTCCCCACTGTGGCCTGTCCTTTTTGCTGCTTTCTCTCGTTTCTTTTTCCAACCCTTGCTTAATTGATCGATCCCCTGAATTTTCCCTCTCCTTTCCAATTTTCCATCTTTATCTGGCTGGAAGACATCCTCGCCAGTTATGGCTTCTTCTAATCCAGATCCCGACGGGACCGAGGATGTCAACGATTTCCTGCAACGAATCCGCCAGTTGGGAGAACAACGCGACAAGGAGGACGAGGAGCGCACAAAGAAGTTGGAGGAAGAGATCCTGCAAGGTCGACGGGAGCGACAGGCCCGGAGGGCAGGTAATATTCACTTTCCTATTTTCTTTTATTGTCTTCTTTGTTTTGGAAATTGTTCCGTTTGACATTCCACATTCCTGGTTTCCCCTCCCGCGGTGACTCGACCCCTCCATGGCAGACATTTTGTCGATTAAAAGGAGCAAATAAAGGATGGATTGATGCTAATCTTGTCCTTTATATAACAGAACGCGCTCGTTCGATATCCCCCACAAAAGACTCGCCCCTCTTGGATGCCGCTCGATTGAGCATCTCGTCCATCGGCTCTCGTCCAATCGACCCTCCAGAGCATTTGGAGCCCACTACACAAACAACAGATCCTGAATACTCCAACAAGCCCGATCCGGCTAGCACCAATCTCGATTCGACGCTGACAGAGGTTCCTGAGGAACCGAAAGCGAATGAGTACGAAATGGACACCTCTCCTACGAGACCTACACCGCCGTCGCCTCTCGCTCGGAGTCGACACGGAACATTATCCTGGCAACAGCGACCCTTGTCACGAGAATTTGGCCGTTCCCTTCTCTCCGCATCTCCTACTCGCGCAAACCGTCTAAGATCCCAATCCTCGGTCACCGGCGATAGTCAGGGTCAGGAGCGGCCTCCATCTCGGGATCAAAATACACATGCTTGGTCGGCCAATGATACGACTCCTGAACCCCACCAAACCACGGATCGAGAATTTGAGTCTCCAGCGCTGCAGAAGAACACCGCAGATGATGTGGATTCGAACCGTGACCAAGAGGTGCCAGAAACCGCTCAGGGAAATACGGCAGAGCAAGAAAAACAGGTCGGTCAGCAGAATGTCGACGAACGATCCCGTTCTCCCTCCAGGGCAAGCTCGACCTTCGGGGAAAGCACCGTGAGCAATCGATACTCAAGCATGTCATCCGTGTCGACAGCCACAGGACTCGGTTCTCCGCTTCCGCTATCGAGTGTGCAAAGATTCGAACCTCCAAAGACAGAATCGAGCACAGAAGAGCAATCGCCTCCGTCTCCTAACCAGCGACGACTCTCACCAGAACGTCCGTCATCACCAACAAAAGGACTTGGTGGATTCGTCCAGAGTGCTATGATGAAACGATCCGATACCGTTACGAAGCGGTGGAGTGCACAGCTTCCTTCGAATCTCACTCGGAACAATTCTGTTTCCAGCAATCGCAACAGCATCGCAGTACCAAACTATGGGGATACGTTTTCTGCAACGAGTCCTACTAAGCTCGGCAAGGATGCTCCGTCTTTATTGTCCCATCGCCCAAGCTCTAGTCACAGCGAGGCCACAGTTGTTACCAACAGAAGAGGAAGCGAAAGGCCATCCACTCCTCCTGTTCCTAACGACGGCAATGAAAACAGCGGAAGGGAAACAAAGGCTGAGGAAAGTGCATCTCGGTCATCGTTCACCCTTCATGCGAGAACCGCCAGCACCCTGGACAAGGAGGACCGGAACGCTGATCCTAACCCGACAAGTCCGGTAGTCTCACGGACCATGGACCCAAAACGGTGGAGCCCTACTAAAGCCACCTGGCTGGAGAGTGCCCTGAACCGGCCCGACTTGCCAAGGCATAAGAAGCAACCTTCGCAAACTTCCTGGAAGGATCGGCAGTCCCGAGGCAGTGTCGATCTGGGCCGGTCAAATAGCTTTAAGGAAGTCACTCCAGCGGGTCTTATGCGTCCTGTCCCTCTCGGTAACCACTACAAAAAACCTAGCATTACCGGATTACCGGATTTATCTGGCACGCTAGACACAGGCAAAGGAAAGGTGCCTTCTGGTTTGGAGCCTTCCAAGGAGAGTGAGCCAGTGACCATGGACAAACCAATTATGGAGAAGAAGGATGAAGAGGAGGTTGCACCTTCTCCTTCGCTGTCGACCTCACCGGAAAAGAGCCCAGTTCAAACTACACCGGACGTTCCGGACCGCAAACCTGCACCTCTCACCCTCACGCCCACACCTAATTTCGCACCACCTTCCCCCCTATCTGCTCGAGATCCCGCATCGCCAAAGCCAAAAGCACAATCCCCGATCGTCGACTTTAGGGCCAACCTTCGGAAGCGAGAAGTCACCAAGGAAAAGGAAGCTACACCCAAAGGCGACCAGGAACCGGAGTTCAAGAACATTTTCGGAAAGCTGAAGAAGACAGAGAAAAATTCCTTTACGCAACAAAATGACCTCAAAGACAATATCCTTAAGGGCAGGGCGGCATTGAATGCGACCGGCGGCCCAAAGAAGAACTCCAAACCGGATGACGTGAAGGAAGGCCTTCTCAAACAGAAAGACATCAGGACCGGCGGCGGTGGGTTATCGAGGCGAAATACCGCCGGGGAAAACGACGCCCCTGCCAAATTCGTCCCCGAGGCCATCGCCAGGCGACATCACCTTAGTAAATCGAGTAGCGTCCGAAGCAGTAATGCACCTTCCTCGCCCTCAACCCTCGAACCCGGCACACCGCGAGACTTGCAGAGTCTGAAGTCGCCTGTTTTCTCGCCTCATACCGAAGGAACCACCGAAAATCCAGAAAGCCCAAATCCCCAATTCTCGCCTGCGGCTGTCGACTTCGCCGCCCACGAACCCAAGTCTGAGCCCCAACCCGAACCTCAACCGGAACCGCAACCTACCGATTTCGCCTCCCCCGTTGCCGAACCTAGCTTCGAAGACAAGATGGACGCATTGGAGGAACAAACAAAGAAGGACGATGAGCTCGAAACGAAACAAGAAGAATCGAATGCGAGTGAGGAGGCCATTCAGCCGGTGCGTGCTTTGCCGTCGGAAACCGTCGCGGCAGTCGCAACTCCGTCTGCGCCTGCTGCGACTGAAGGTGTCGCTGCTAAAGGTAATAAACTTGCAGGCCGAATTAACCCTGCCTTAGCGGGGCTTTTGTTTCGCGGGCCCTCCAATGCTGGTGCAAGTGATGGATCGAAGGATACCGTCTCTTCTGGGCAAAGCGGCTCGGAGTCAGCTCCTGGTGCTCCATTGACGCATGTCACGAAGAGTCGGGCAAGAGGGCCGAGGAGACGTGCACCAGGGGCTACTGCTACTGGTCAAACGGAGTTGCCTGCTGTTGTTCTACCTGAGTTCCCTTCTCAACCCGAATCTGTTGGTGAAACAGAATCATTTGCCCCAAAAGATGAGGCGTTCGCTCAGTCTGAGGTACCGATCCCAAAAGACGAGCCATTGGCATTTCAAACTGAGCAGCTCTCTAGTGAAACGGAGCCTGTTGCCCCAAACGATGAATCCCCTGCTGCTCAGTTTGAGTCGCCTGTCAACGAGCCTGAGCCATCTGCTCATCTCTCCAGCGAAGCAGAAACGCCTGCCCCAAACGACAAGCTATCGGCGGCTGAGCCTGAGCTGAATGACCCAAAAGGCGAGCTGCAGACTGTTCACAGTGAGTTGCCTGAGGCATCTACAATCAAGATTGAGCAGTCTGCTATTGAGGCGGAGTCACCTGTCGCGAAACATGAGCCTGCCATGGAGTCCGAATCTGTAATCATGCATCCAGAGTCGCCGTTTACCCCAAGTCATGAGGTGTCCACCGCTCAGATTGAGTTACCAGTCAGTCAACCTGAGTCTTCGGCGCAATCTGAGCTGCCTTTTCCGAAGGACGAGCCCATGCCTGAGTTCGAACGCCCTGTCGCCCAGCCTGGGACACCCTCCATTCAACATGAGCAGCAATTCGAAGTAGAACCGACCGGTCTAAAGGATGAGCTTGTCGGTGAGCCTGAAGTTATTGCCACACAGCTGGAGTCTCCTATCCCGAAAGAAGATGTGTCGGTCAGCCAATCTGAGGTTTCGGCTCAACCTGAGCTACCTTCCCCAAAGGATGAGCCCACGGCTAAGGTTGAACTGCCTACCATCCAGCCTGAGACATCCTCCGTTCAACATGAGCAGTCTACGGCTGAAGCAGAACCGACCATTCTAAAGGACGAGCCTGTCATTGAATCTGAACCAGTTGTGATGCAGCTGGAGACGGCCAGCCGCATTGAGCCTTCTGCCCAACCGGAGCTGCCCCACCCAAAGGGTGGGCCGCGCACACCCGAGTTCGAACTGCCTACTGCCCAGCCTGAGGCATCCTTTGTCCAACATAAGCAGCAGTCTGCAGCTGAAATGGAGACCACCGTCCCAAAAGATGAGCCAGCCATTGAATCTGAGCCGATTGTGGCGCAGCTGGGGTCTCCTGTCCCAAAAGATGATGTGGCAGCCATTCAACCTGAGCTTTCAGCTCAACCTGAGGTGCCTTCCCCAAAGGATGAGCCGCGCATGGCTGAGTTTGAATTGCCTACTGCCCAGCATGAGACGCCTTCCGTTCAATATAAGGAGCGGTCTGCGGCTGAAGCAGAATTGCCTGAACCTATTATAGCGCAGCTGGAGTCACCTGCCCCGAAAGATGATGTGCTGGCCAGCCAACCTGAACCTGAGCTGGATTCTTCTAACGATGAACCTCATCCTCCTCAACTTGACCTGCCTATCACCCAGTCTAAGACAACTTCTTTGCAAGATATGCAGCAACCTGCAGCTGAAGCAGAACCGACCATTCCAAAGGATGAGCCAGTCGTCGAGTCTGAACCCGTTGTGGCACAATTGGAGTTGAAGGATGATGTGCCAGTCAGCCAACACGAATCAGAGTCGAACTACGAGCCTCACTCTGCTCAACTTGACCAGCCAGTCAGCCAGCCTGAGACAGCTTCCGTTCGAGACGTGCAGCAATCTTCGACTGAATCAGAGCGCTCTTTCATAGAAGAAGCATCGACTGCCCAAACTGAGCCGATTACCAATAGAGCTACCACTTCGGACACCCAACTGAAGTCGCCAGTCCCAAAGGATGGCTTCCAATTCGGATTTCCAATTTCACAAACCAAGCAGCCTACGGCAAAGGACGAGTCATCCATTGAGTCATCATTCCTTCAAGATGAGCAATCCACAACTGAAGCAGAGCGCTCCGTCTCCAATTATGAATCGTCGATAGTCCAATCTGTGCCGGCTATCAGTGAAATCGAAGCTTCAGACGCACAAACTGAGTTATCTGCCGGAAAAGATGACTTCCAATTCGAGTTCGAGCGCCCTGGCGCAAAAGACGAGCCGTCTGCTTCCCAGCCCGAGTTTGATTTCTCAAAAGATGAGCCATCGGTCACTCGAACTGAACCCGAACCTGCCCCAAGAGATGACTTTTCTCAATTCGATTTTCCAGTTACGCAAACTGAAGAGTCTGTAGCGAAGGAAGAGCCCTCTATTACCGAGCTTGAATTAGACATTCCGAAGGATGAACCAACAATCCTTCAAACCGAGCCCACTACCGAAGAACATGAGTCTGCTACGCAACTGGAGTCATCTGTCCCAAGGGATGACTTGTCTCAGTTTGAGTTTCCCGTCATTCAAATCAAACAATCAACATTGGAAGACGAGACGTCGACTCAGCACAACCCGGCTGCCAGTGACCTCGAATCTTCTGTCCTAGAGCTACCCGCCCCAAAGGACGAACCGTCCCAGGTCGTGCCGCCCTTCAGTGAGCCTGAACCACCTGCCAGCGAGCCGGAATTGTCCACTACGCACCAGGAGTCACAATCTGGCCCAGAAGACGAATCGCCAGTCCATCCGCCAAATATGCTCACCAGTGACCCAAAGCCAGTTGTCCCTGTTAAGCGGCCTACCATTCAACCGGAGCCGACTGTCAAAGTCACAGAGCCTCAGTCGCCTGTCCCGAAGGAAGAGTCGCCTGTCACTGAGACACCTGCTAGTGAACCCAAGCCGCCTGCACAAGAAAATGGCCTATCTGCCGCTCATCCTGAGCCGGCCAACAGTGAATCCAAACCGGCTAGTACGAAATCACAGTCTGTCCCGAAGTCATCATTTGAAGCCGCGAGATCAGTCTTCTCCGCTGGTGACCCCAACAGTAACTGGCCACTTCCTGACAGTCCGCCGACGAATAAAGGAATTGGTCGGCCTGAGCAAAGTCCATCTTCCGAGAAGGGCATGCAGGACACGACAAATGGTGAGACAGCACCACAGCTTACACCTCAGCCTAAAAGTAAGATAGACGCGCTTTCTCCGAAATCTTTCCATTCATACGAAGACGTCGAGAATCTGGGTGATTCTCCTGCGCAAAGGCCGATTGTACCGCCCAAGTCACCACGCACGCCTAATTCTGACCAGAGGTGGAGCCCACAAGTTCGGCATTCATCGCAGTCTCCATCTCCTCTCAGAACAAGCTACAAAGAGAACCAAATGGATTCGCCCGTTGGCAGTCCTCAACAGCGGATATTTAGTGGGTTCGGGCTCGGCTCGATCCTCTCTTCTCGACACAAATCCTTACCTTCTCCCCCGGTTCCTCCCAAAAGAACCGACACACAGCTCTCATCGCCAAGTTCTTCAATATCATTAGTTCCACAGGCTGATGAGTCCTTGGAGGTCATTGCGGAGTTCTTCACGGCTTTCCCCAAAACAACTGACCGGGTGGACATTGATCCTCAGCTGATGCTTAGCACTCGAGATAACGATTCCAAAATCCGAACCTTGAAGAAGCAGGTATGGGAGATTACAGGCGAGGGCAAGAGACAAGACCTCCCCATCAACCAGGAGTACATTCTCTACGAAGGCAGCATGTACTTGTGTGTCCACACGTTTGAGTTTGAGTCGGACTGCAGCACACGCTCTGAGACTCACTTGTGGTGTGGTGACGACGTGCCGGACCATGCCATAGACGATGCGCAGACCTTTGCTCGCAAGGTGGCTAAAGAGCATAGTTGCAAGCTTGAAGTTATCAAGCAAGGTAAAGAAACCGCTCGGTTCATCCAAGCGGTCGGAGGCATTCTGATCACACGTCGTGGATCGAACTCTCGCTCAAGTTTGTCGGCCTTGTACATGCTTTGCGGACGGAAACACTTGAAGCAAATGGTGTTCGATGAAGTCGACTTCACGCGACGCAACCTGTGTTCCGGCTTCCCGTTCGTGATCTCTGCGCCGTTTGGCAAGTTGTATCTATGGAAAGGAAAAGGAAGCACCGCAGAAGAAATCGGTGCGGCTCGGCTCATTGGCATGGACCTTGGTTTGACCGGAGAGTTTGAAGAGGTTACTGAGGGCGAGGAGCCAGAGAGCTTTTTCGAAATCTTCAACTACCGGGATACGGAGGAGTATCTACGTTCGGAGGACTGGCAGCTTAAGCCCAATCACGAACAGTTTCGTTGCAGACTGCTTCGTGTCGACCACGAACTTGGCCAGCGGTCTGGATTTTGGATGCGACGCCCTGGTTCTTCGTCTCCGATTATTCGGCCCAATGATACTGTTCAGGCAATTGAACCATATTGCTACAAGGATATCACGCCTAAGGGGATTTACATCCTTGATACCTACTTTGAGCTTTATGTGTAAGTGCACTTCCAATTGTGTTTAACTATGAGTCGGTCATCTAAACGTTTGTTGCAGAATCGTTGGTGAGCAGGCTGCTCATCGTCCCGCCGAATTCGCGTCGGCTGTGGTGTTTGCACACGAATACGGCATTCTGGCTGCTTCTCTTCAGGACCGTCCATTCATTCCCAAGAGTTACGTCTCTATCGGTGGCGCCCCGAACTCGTGTCGAAGTGCGTTCCGCAAATGGCACAAGGAGACCTGGAAGCTACCTCCGCAAGTGTTTCCCCTGAACGCGGCAATTGATGCCATTCGAACTTGATATGACTTATTTTTTATTTCCCCTCTTTTCGATTCTTCTCTTCGTTTGTCCATATGTGTGCCATTTTTTCTTTTAATATTGTGCATACTTGTTTGTTTTGTATAGAGATGGTTTGCCCTGGCATGGTAGATACGGGAGCATGGGTCCATTTTTCCGGACGCGGCGATGGTGGGAATTCTCTTTCTTGTCTAGTACTTGCATGTTGGAGTTGTTTGTTTTGTTCATACGGAGGGCGTTTTCATTTCGATGTATGATATTGAGACATTTGTTCCAAATCGGAGACATGTCCATAAGTGTATACAGTCTAATGGTATACCATTGTGCATATAATCATGGCGATAATAGTTCCTTCGTATCAAAATGGAGAACTCAGGTTCCTAGAGGGCTATGATGGCTGTAAAGATGCTGGACCTCGGCGGGGCTGGCAGTTGATTATCTTGATTGATAAGGGCCATCAGTGATGGCAATGCTCAATGGAGCTGATGTAGAGAAAGGAAGGAATAGATTGTACACACCAGGTCAAATTGAGCTAGTGAATAGCTAGAATAAACTACTAGCAGTGAATGAAATGGCGTGATCGTGTAATCACTGCCTTACCCTATTTTCCCTATCTCCCACGCGGACCCAATAATCGACATTTTCTCCTGAACTTTTTCTTCGCCTCACACCACTTTTTCTCCCCACAACCGACCTCGAATTGTGCAGTGTATTTCCCCTTCCTCTACTAAATTAATTGATTGATTGTTCCAAGCTAATTAGTCATTTGTTTCTCATTTCTTGTTGAATATGTCCTGATTCCCGTTTCCGGAAATCGCCGTCATTGTCGCCGCTGGACGCACGCAGTTCCCTGACCTTACCTTGACCATATTCTGTACATTGATTGATTCGTACATACATCATCTCTGCTTGTTTCAATATCATAGAAACAAGATGGACCCCGTCATCCAGCGCGAGCTCTCCCAGCTCGACCCCACAGTGTCCTTTCGCGCCTCGACGGATCACCTCCACCACACCTGGGCGAAGACCTTCTTCTCACGACCAGAGCTCTACATCCGCCCGCAATCGATCCCCGAGATCCAGAAACTCATCATCCTTGCGCGCCGCTGCCGTCGTCGTCTCGTGGTCGTGGGCAGTGGCCACTCGCCCTCCGACCTCACCTGTACGTCATCATGGCTGGTGAACCTGGACGGTTTCAATCGTATCCTGGACCTGGATACTAAAACGAGCGTTGTGACCGTCGAGGCGGGCATTCGACTCTGGCAGCTTGGTGAAAAACTCGAGGAATATGGATTGACGTTGTCGAATCTGGGTAGTATTGATAGCCAGTCGATTGCGGGGGTGATTGCGACGGGTACGCACGGCAGCTCCATGCAGCATGGACTGTTATCGGAGTGTATTTTGTCGTTGACTTTGATGCTCGCGAATGGACAGCTGGTGCGCTGCAGTCCCGACACGAACCAGGCGTTGTTCCGGGCAGCGCTGGTTTCGCTGGGTGCCTTGGGTATTGTCGTTGAGGTGACTTTCCAGGCCGAACCGACGTTCAAGATCGCATGGCAGCAGCGCCGACGGCCTTTGTCGCGTGTGCTTGCTGATTGGTCTAATGGATTGTGGACGTCGCACGAGTTTGTTCGGGTTTGGTGGTTGCCGTACGAGAAGAGCGCGATCGTCTGGCATGCGGATAAATCTGATCTGCCTGAGCGTGAACCACCCAGCTCTTTCTATGGCCAGACACTTGGTTACCATGTTTACCACAACCTGCTGGCCTTGTCGAACTACTTCCCGCGCATCTTGCCCTGGGTCGAGTGGCTTGTCTTTGGACTGCAGTATGGTTTCAAGGCGGAATCTGATGTCACGGAGGCAGTTCAGCCGGCGCGCAAGGGTCTGCTCATGAACTGCCTGTATTCGCAGTTCGTCAACGAGTGGGCTTTGCCTTTGGATAAGGGTCCGGAAGCCATCATCCGTCTCTCTGCTTGGCTCCACGGCGACGTTGAAACAGCTCGCATCCCCTTCCCTGTTGAAGGCGTCTGGGTTCACTGTCCCGTCGAAGTGCGAGTGGCCAACTCAACACTGAACAAGAAACCCCGTCCGTTCTTGGACCCTACCGGCCACGACAGTCCTACTCTGTATCTCAACGCAACCCTCTACCGTCCGTATCTGCGCGACCCGCCCTGCAAAGCCCGCTACTACGAGGCCTTCGAATGGTTGATGCGCGAAATGGGCGCCAAACCACACTGGGCCAAGAACTTCACCGCGAGCGGCAACCAGGAGCTGTATGCACTATACGGCGAAGACATGAATGAATGGCTCAAGGTCCGCCAGGAAGTCGACCCCGATGGCATGTTCCTCGGTGAATGGCACTACCGCAACCTGCCACTCGCCGCTACGGCTGATACCGAAGATGACACTGGAATCCGCGGCAGACCGGATATCAACGCCCTCCCTCTCCTAGAGCGCGAGGTCATCCGTCGCCATGCGGTATTCGAGGGCGCTGGTGACGGCGTCGAATGGATCGGTCATAAACGGTGGCAGGAGGTGTCTGATGAAGAGCAGGTGCAGCGCCGTCGTCGACAGAATGTCGCTGTTATGGATGAGTCGGAGGAGAAGAGGTTCTTCGAGTACGAAACCAGTGAGGCCGGCACGGTAGCTAGTGAGGAGAGCTTTGATTTGATGGCTGCCGGGGAGGCGAGTATTACTCTTCCTGAACGAGTTCACGATCCATGAATAGACCATGCAGTACGATACATGATATATGATATTGATGACAAAAATTGACAAGAAACGCATTGTAGCCTTTCTCTTCTCTTTTTCTTTGATATCCTGGGGGATACGACCTGAACAGGGATGTTGGCTGTCTTCCGTCATAGCCGTGGAAAAACGAACTAGATTTATTTCTAGTTGCTTTCATATTCCAAAAACGATACTCCTTCCCCCCTTTTCGTCAATTTTTTCTTTGTTTATTCGACTTGATATTCATACGTTGTACATTAATATTCGAGATGCAAATGCGAGTACAGGAAAATCCAACCTTTGTCTCTGATGTACATGTACATGGTGCATAATATTTCAGCCTGATAGTGGGCCTATGTAATTTAGACCAAAATGAGGGTTTTATCCATATTCCTTGACGCCAATACATCCATACGATGGCAAAAAAACGGCTTTCTCTTCTCCGGTAGTTGGCACGCACTGTCTGGGTATAGCAACAATGCAATGATTGGTGCCCTCATTTCGATATCAACTGTCAAATTGCGATGTCATTTTCACCCCGATCCTTGTCTATAGTAACCCCCGCTTTAAAAATAAAAGGAAGGGTAAGTAAGTCTTGCTGTAAGATGTCAGATGTCAGATGTCAAAGGTGGTATTGCTGTAGTGCTATTTGTCAGTAGGAGATACATCGAGTACAGTAGTAGTGACAGGCAGATGACCACCGCGTACGAATGCAGGTATGCACGAAGGACCAGGATGGTGAGCCTTTGGCTTCGGTGTCAGCATTGGGTATTGACACTTGACACTCGACAGAGGGCAGGGTAGGTCCTTCGTGGCGTTGTAAGTTGAAATAACGATGTCACGGGATTGATGACCTTGTAGCCCTAGGTGGATATACGCATGCCACACTAAGTGTAGTTGAAATCGTAAGTTTTTTTAGCGGATTTCTATTCAGAGCGGCTAACTAACACACTATTGTAGTAGCCATTGGAGTACTTTGTTATTCATAATGTTTGGCAGTCATTTAGGGTATATCTATAAACTTGTAAACTTAACGGGCGAAATATGTATGCAACATGAAGATATAAACTGATAAGCCACCCGCCATGAAAATAAAGATACCACACGAGCAAACGAAAGCCAAAAAGAGATGATATGAACATAACATTATTAGCCGACGGTCCTGTCCAGCAGCCATTCAACCTGATATGCGCCCCAATTTATCAAATCTAGAAAAAGAACAAGAACAAGATGGGACTTAAGAGAAAAAAAAAATCATATCCATATCCCCTCCCCCCGTTTCGGAACATGAAAATCACACCCTAACTTCGCGGCCTCCCCACGGTTCCTAAGTTCCTGCAAAATCCGATCCCCTGGAGGCGGGCCATCTGTCAAATCTTCTTTAATATGAATGATATACACAGATAGACCCGCCAACGGAGGCGCCTCTGATCCTGCCCATGGCAGATTCTCATCATCCGGTGGATTCTGGTCAATTGAGAACTGGACCTGCATCGGCTCACTTGTAGGGTTCCCGTCGACGCCGTCGAATATGGGGGTATTGAGAGCCGGCGATATCGGCTGTCCGTTAGTCTCAGGGATGGGGACGAGGTCTCCCCAGATCTCACCCGAGTTGACTCTTGTCTGGCGACCGCTGTTTGATTGCGGAAGGCATGGGTATGGTTCTGATCTGCGGTTTTGTGCTTTCCCAACTGCGAAGCTTTGGGCGCGTTTGGAGCGAGGGCTTACGCCGCCTGGGCTGCTGGCTGTGCGTTTGCGTTTTGATGATGTGTTCGGGTGGCGGATTTCTGTTACTTTCGTGGCTAGAACTTTGAGTTCTGCGACCAGATGGCGTGGGCAGAGGTGGCCGTAGAGGGTACAGTCTTCAACAGAGTCATCGTAGGAGCATTCGATGAAGATTGCGCGTAGATTGCCTGTGGCCATTTTTGGTGCTGCGACTTCCCACACGCGTCTGTTGCGGGGGTCCATTGAGATGGAATCTGGTTCGATGTCACCGAAGACGATAATTTCGTTGCCGTTAGATTGGTCTCGGATGAAGAATGCGGAGCTCTCGACTGTTGCCCAGGTTGGGTCTTTTCCGAAGAGACGGGGGGAACGGGCTGGAGAGTAGAACCTGATACTGTCAACTGGTGTTCTAGGTGCTTTGTATAAATCACTTACCCATCCGTGTGATCAGCAGAAATACCTCTAGGAGGTAGCATTAATGGATCTGCCGCAAACACCGCGCTGCCCACGCGGTGATGCGACTCGGACTCGGAATTGTATCGCTTCTTACAACGACCATGGCTAATACTGAGACATCTTGTCAATAGACCATCAGCCGCACGAACATAACCTCTTGCATCTCCGCGGCCAAATCTTGGATTCCCTCCTTCAACCAAGCGTTGATATGTGAGCAAGCCCGCTCCACCATCCTCGTCAGACAGGTTAGGCCAGATCACATCGTTAAACATGTGGTTTTTGATAGCAGCAACTACCGAAGGCAAGGCAGCGACCGCTTTAGGCCCAGCCCCGGCTTCGATAATCGGCGTGTTGATCGCCAAACCAGACAAGTGATCCAGATGCGCATGCGTGACAAGGATTGTGCCGATGATTTCTCGAAAAATGTGTGCTGCATTTGCTTGGGGAGACTTATATGGTAAATTAAGACCGACAAATGGGCCATCTTTCATGTATCGTTTGTTGTCCTTAGTTTCCATTTCGTACTGCTCTAGAGTTCGGATGATACCGGCGAGAAGGGTGCCGGCATCGACCGCGACCATCGAGTTTGATGACCATTGTGTCGCTGTTGACCTCACTAGCAGCCCAGTCACGCTATCTTCGCGGGGTCCTCCTGTAGGGCCCTTTTTTAAAATATATTAGCTGTTTGTCTCAGATGCCAGATGCCGAACTAGCTGCATAACGCTGCATGCAATGGGTTGCTTTTTCTCGATAGTAAAGTACTGCCAGGTAGTGACGATAATACAATTGACTAAGTCCAGAATGCATATACTATACGGGTTGGGATTCTAAACGGAAAAGGAAGGGGATAAGAAAAGGGCAAAAAAAAAGAAAAAAAATCGAGACTCACCAAGACAACGACCTGAAAGGTCGCCTTGTCCGCCATATAGCCGCGCTGTCTGTTTGCCTTTGCGAAACAGGTACTCCACGAGGTTTCAGACTAAGACAAGAGCACAATGGCAATGCGACTCGAACCCAAAACCTCACTTCCAGTCGCGGCAGGTATACCGTCAGAACCACCTTCAATATCTAATCAAGCCCAGCGTTCAAATAAGATAACCATCCCTTTCGTACCACCGTAAGCCACCGTTGCTTATGGGATACCTTCCGTCCACTTGGATAGCGCCCGTACTCGACACGAATCCAAGGTCCAAGGTCCTCCACCACTGCCAGTTGTATATATATCTCGCTCTGCCCTTTATGCCCAAACAAGAACTTTCAGTGGAAGCGATGACGGGGTCGAAAACGATGAAACGCGAACGAGGGATTCGAGAGTATATAATAAATCGCGACACGAAATTAAAGTTGGTGATTGACTGCGGTAGATAAATCCGAGCCGATCGGGCGCTGAGCAAAGACGCCCTAGAGCGCACGGACAAAAGACGTATCGAATACGTATGCGACAGGGGACCGCGTAGTGAACCTTGATTCTATGCGTCTTCAAATCGGATTTAGACAGATGGGTAGACTGTGGATGTGGATGTGGATGGTCGATGGAGAGAGGGGAGAGGGACGAGGCGAGGCTGAGCGATCAGATGGGCGATGGGATGAACGAACGATGGGGGCAGGGCGCAACTCAGCGCTGTGCTACGCAACCAGCCGCGCACTTTTAAACCCCTTGGCGCAGAGAAGGGAAGACAATAGGATTGTTGTCTTTAATTGGGGAATTCAGTTGGGGAGGGAGAAAAGAAAAGAGAAGACACAAGGAATGATATCATCTGGTCATAAGGTAATGATTAGTCTGGAGATCTTGTGGGGAAACAACAATTCACCGGGGAAGAACTGCGGCTGATTACTGGAATAGGATACGGAGTATTATACCGATATTTACTGATCATCTTTTTTAGTTTTCTCGTTAAGCTATTCTAGATATTGAAAGTATGTGAACTACGTATACCTCAGGCAAATATGATGATGTGAATTTGACAAGCCCTCTGACGCTGATGCAGCATTCCAGCTTTACGAGGCTGGCCTTGACAGAGGGAGCGCAATTGTAGCAAGTCGCTCCATGGCGGAGAGCGCGGTCACTGTTGTGGTAACTGATGGCGCACGTCTAGCGGCCTGCCAGGCGAAGGAGAGGCTTGAGACGAGGGATCATGAGAAGGCAAGACGAATGGTTGGGAAATATGCTTCTGCGAGGAAGGTTCCTGTCAGAAATGACGACCTTACTGGTGGTATAATGCATAAGCTGCAGCATGTACAAGTGACTAGGGTTTATGACGATGGCGACGACGACGAAGACGAAAATGAAGAAGACTCGGAGAAGGCGGTGGAAGAAGCAGCAGGGGAAAGGGAAGTGCATAAATAGGATGAGGACTACTGCTCACGAGGCATTGGAGACTTCTGGGGGGCAGTATGAATGCAACAAGTGCAGAAATTTGTATTTCTGTCAGTGACCTCTGTCCTATCGCCTAATAAGTTAGCATCATAGCCATGGCACTAGTTATCTGTGTTGAATAGTATTGTTTCGGCAATCATTTGGCCCATCTTCAGAGACCAAGTTGTGAATTTAACGAGAACGATGCAAATACATGATAAGTGAAGAGCAAAGATAACCCAAGGCCTTCGGTGTCCTAGCCAGGCCAATATATATAGTTCCATTTTTGATTCCCAAATGCCTCAGCGAGCTTACCGTACCGAGGTAAGATATGTGGAGTACATCATAAAAGCGCCAGAAAAATAAAACAAAGAAAAATGTCCCCCAATCCTATATACGTAACATCATTTAAAGCCACTTCCGATGTGGCATAACCCATAAAGCCAATACAGCCAGAGCTCCGCCCATGAAACGCCAGCCATGGCCGCTAAATCGGATGATAGAAAAGAAAAGAAAACGCCAAATAACGGAAGAAACAATATGACCGGGCGTTGCACTGCAACATCGCGGCCCCTTAACGGTTTTCATTGTCGCGGTCTTGATTTTCTTGATTTTCTTGCAAGTGACGATCTTGGGCAGCCACAGCAGCATCGTAACTGGGTATCGGCGGATGTTGCGATGCATCACTGCCTCGGCGACTGCCCTCGGGGCTAGTATATTCAGGAGGCGGAATGTTATCAATATCTTCCTGATTCAAAAGATGGGTACGCTCGTCATCTTCGACATGACTTGATCCTTCGCCAATATCTTCCTGGGAGGGCACATGAGCCAGCTGTGCGAGCGAGATGTCGGTTGGCGATCGGACGGGTCCGGGGCTAGGAGACGGCGCAATTCTAACAGTTGAATCGGCATGGGCGTAATGGGCATTCTGGTAGACCCGATGAGAGATCTGCGCTGCACTCTCTCGACCAGACTCGAGCAAGATGCTGCCGTGTTCGCTTCCATACGGCGGGGGTGGTGCTAGGCTGCCAGTCATCGGAGCCAGTCCCCATTTCTTGACGTTGGCTTCGATAAATACAAATCCCATCTGACCAAAGTTGACATGGACAGAGCAGGGGCCGTTCGCGCCAATTGTTGGGAAGAAGTTGGGCACCTTCTGACCGTGGACCACCTCTTCCATCTTCTTACCGTTGCGAGTGAAGAAAATCGTGCCTGACCGAGGCCGGTATCCCACACCAACAACATCACCTTGTGCGAGTTGAGGGCCATACGGGGTCGGTGTGAACGGTTGGTTGAATCTGCGATGACCGGTCGACAGGTATGCAACGGACGTTTTGTGGAAGCCTGGATAGGAACAAAATGTTAGGAAGTCTCTCAAATGTGAAAGTAATCTTTGAATTAACCCACCTGGCAATCTAAACAACGGATATGGCTTTGTTGACATGCCAATACTGACTAGAGTAGTCTCGGGCTTCTCAAAGACCTTCGCTTCCCAGTAGTAGACGTCGTTTTGCTTGGGCACAGGAAGATTTGCCTGGACGCTACATTCGGAATCAAAGAACTCAATCTCTGTCCGAGCCTCGACAAAACAATTGGCGATTTCAAGTTCTGGCTGAAATTCCCACGCGGAGACACCTTTTTCTTGGATGGCAAGGAACTGAGACAGCGAGATATCGGTTTGCACCGATTCGGGAGGGTTGGCATCGACGAAGGCTGATCCGAATTAGCGCTCGGCGCTATCATTAGGTTATTAAAAAAAAAAAAAAAAATTGAACTCACCTTTCGCTCTCATGTATTCCGACCGCGAAATATCATCCATAATCCCCAGAGCCTCCGCCTCTTCGCGCAAAAACGCCTGTTCATCATCGTATTCACCCGGCCGACCAATGCGATCCAAGATAATCCGACCACGGCTTGTATACTTGAAAAAGAAAAACAAGGCCAAGATAAGAACCGCAACCCCCGCAGAACCAAAGGCAGAGAGAATGCCGATCAGGATTCCCTTTCCGGTCGAGCCGGACGAGTTGCCACTGACGGAGACCAGGCTGTGATCACGCTCGAACTGCGCGGACACGGAACGGAGAACATTTTCAATATTATGGGAGACTATCTCCAGGTCGGTGTTCGGTCTTGGGAAGGATGAAGGCGTGGGAGTGCTGGTGCTTAACACGGAAGTGGTGAGGGTCGAGGGAAGACCATAGATAGCACCGGGGCCCGATGCCTCAAATCCCCGCATTGTTCATGGACAGATCGGGTATTCAGGAATGAGTCTAAGTATTTGTCGTATAGAGATAGATGCGAAGTCGTGGGAAAGTAGAAATCAGGCACAAATGCGAGTCAGGATGGGATGATGGGAGGATGATAGAATGATGTCGGAGTGAAAAAAGGCAGATGAAGAGAGTAGGGAGGATGACGCTGTGGCAGGGCAAAACGAAAATGGCAGGAGAAAAACGCTTGCGGCCACAAAGAACGGTCGCGTTTATTCAGTCTGCCTTGGGGGATTCATTATGTACATGCATGTCAGGTATTGAAATGAACTCAAGAAACAAGAATATTAGCTGTTTTGTTTCTTATTCATTGTCAGAATATTCCGTACTATTGCTGCTGCTGCTGTTGCTACATCCTGAGGCTGACCGCCGAGCATGCAATCCCTATCAGTAGATAACCGGAGCTGACAGTATAACTTCTGTTGCTCACACCCTCTCTTCCGATTTACCTCTATTCAAGTGTACAGAGTATTTCCAACTGATACGCTTCCTACCAGAATGGGTGCAGTGTCTCATCTCCAGGAGGCTGTCCTGGCACAGGCCAATGCCAACATCCATTCCCTGGATGCCTTGAACATCCGTCTAGAGATAAGCAACGACCACAACAAATATCCAGGTTCGTGAGTGGCTATGCTACCCTGCCATCCTGATTATATGTCTTCTTTGTACTGCGATAAATACAAAGACTACTCTGTAGACTGACGGGACTAGCAAAGCAACATGCTCGCAGAGTCGCAGCGAAACTGGGAGCTACCCACGGCCTTATATATCTTGCTGGAACGCCAACCATCAACTGGGGTGACTCAGACCAAGCGCGCCCGTTTCGACAGAGACGCTACTTCTACTACCTCAGTGGTGCGAACGAAGCGGATTGCTATCTAACCTACGATATCGAAACGGACCTCTTGACGCTGTATGTTCCGAACTTCGACCTTCATCAGGCGGTATGGATGGGGCCTACCGTCACAAAAGAGGAGGCAGAGGCACGCTACGACGTACACCAGGTGTATTATTTTGATTCTTTGCGGGGGGATCTTGAAAAATGGGCAAACCAATACAACAAGACGAGTCCCATTTATATCCTGCATGAGTCGCAAAAACCCATCATCTCGCCTTCCAAAAATCTGTTCTTGGACTCGAAGAAGCTGCAGCCTGCAATGGATGCTGCCCGGGGAGTGAAGGATCACCATGAGATTCAGTTAATCCGCGAAGCGAACCGGGTATCTGGCCTGGCTCATCGCAAGATTCTCGAGTCTATTCATGAGATGACCAACGAGGCGGAGATTGAAGGCTCGTTCTTGGATACCTGCGTCTCTAATGGTGCGAAGAACCAGGCATACGAGATTATTGCCGGGTCTGGTGAAAACGCAGCTGTTCTTCACTACGTCAGGAACGATGAGCCGCTCAAAGGCCGGCAGCTGGTCTGCCTGGATGCTGGTGCCGAATGGGATTGCTATGCCAGCGACGTGACGCGGACATTTCCTCTGACGGCGACGGGCGATTGGCCCAGCGACCAAGCCAGAGATATCTACCATCTGGTAGAAGAGATGCAAGAGGAGTGTATCAAACGCATCAAGCCGGGTGTCCGATTCTTAGATTTGCATGTGCTGGCACATGGTATTTTGATCCAAGGGTTACAGAGGCTGGGCATCCTTCGACACGGGTCTGTGGAGGAAATTCGCCAATCGGGGGCGTCTACAGTGTTTCTGCCACACGGCCTAGGACATCACCTTGGGCTGGAAGTTCATGACGTGTCGGAGCGGTCACTGATGGCACGCGGTGACAGTGGATTCTACGCGTCGGTCCTTGTTTCGTCCCTGACCCATTCCCCGTGCACGTTGACCGCCTCGGGATTGGAGGAGGGCATGGTGGTGACAGTTGAACCGGGGATCTACTTTTCTCGACTGGCACTTGACAACGCGCGAAAACAGAAGAAGCTAGCACAGCACATCAACCTGGAGGAAGCGGAAAAATACATATCGGTTGGCGGTGTGCGCATCGAGGACGACATTTTAGTGACAGGAACGGGGTATGAGAATCTCACGACGGCGCCCAAAGGAAGCGAGATGCTAGAGATTCTCCGGGGCCGGATCGACCACTAGTCACCCTTTAATATATGAGTCCTGCATTAAGCGACCGGAAGATGGGGCCTTTGACGGTGCGGTAGGGGATAGCACCTTCCTTAAGAGGGATAATGCGGGAAGGGGAAGTGGCGGAAGGTGGATAAGTACGATGAAACTGCTCCATTGGACTTGTACACCGTAAAGTGCACAGCTCTCGCAGCTGCCCAGCTGTCCCCAGAGCACAACCCACAATTCATCTGGATGGAAAAATGCCATGCTTCTAGACCGGTTTCTACTGGACCAGCTCATTGTACCTGTCTGTCTCTACGAAATACTACTAATAGTATGCACACCGCATACAAGTAGTGAGTACGTAGACGTCTCCAGCAGCAGACACATGGACCAACACGAGGGTCTCAGTATTGTGTGCGTTTTTTTTTTTTTTTTTTTTTTTTTTTTTTTTTTTT